CAAACTTTAGGAGTAAGAAACTGATATGGATACAAATGAAGAAGCTCTGAAGGGCTGAGGTTGGGAAGGACAGATCACAAATCTGGAGCCCTGCAGTTAACTAGTTCTTATTGGTGTGGCCTTGGCCACTATTTCCCACACTCTGAGCCTCAACTTTGCCTTTAGAAAATATAAATCGACATAAACACCAAAAATCTACCCTTCCCAGGGTACAAAGGAAGCGCTAGCAGAGAAACTAAGCACAAATCTGCATATAAAAATAAATGGTAGTGTTTCGGGTCAGCACTGCATTCCCAGAGTCTTCCGTGTTGTTTCTACTTCATACTTACCAGTACTTAGCTTTCCAGGACATGACACTTCCTCATCTGAGCCCCACTGGTCCTTAAGGCATGGTTTTTCTCCTCGCTCGATCTGAGAGAGAATATCAGGCTTGGAAACAGCATAGTCTATGCACAAGATGGAGGAAGAAGACACAATCAGTCTGACTACTGGATGTGGGCAGGTAGAGTCAATCAAGGAGATAACAAAGCAAAGCACTTCAAGTTAGCCTGAAACACATTAGTGGTACACATACTCCCCCTGCCTATGGAAACATAAAGCCCAGGTCCCCACAAGTCAGTACCCGAAGGCAGAGGGGCTGAGATCAAATCAAAGTCAAATCTACAAACTGCATGATCCTTAGAAGCTCTTTAATGGGGACCAAGTCTAGTACCTTACCCAGGGAGACCAGCATCTCATAGTTGCCTCTCATCACATGCTTGTAAAGCTCCTTCTGCCACTCCTCCAGCTTCCCCCACTCCTGCTCCGAAAAATACACGGCCACATCATCAAACGTCAGGGGCACCTAGAACCACAAGTATCACACACTCTCACACACATACACACAACCTTGGCCTCCCCTGCTCCCACCATGCCTGGCCTAGAAGGGATTACCTTGGGGACCTCGCCCTTGCTTCCTGGGGGAAGCCGCAAGATCCAGAAGTTCCTGTTTCTCAGCAGGTTCTCCATGTTCTCCAGCCTCCTCTGGAGCAGCCCGTACTCCTGGAGCAGGGTGCCCAGCACAGCCCACCTGCCCTCCAGCTGGTTTTCAATCTCCACGGCTACCCTCTCACAGTCTGCCAGCTTTTTCTCTGCTGTCACTGTTCGACCCTCTAAGGTGAATAATCGGGCCAGGCACAAGTCCACCTTTTTTTCCACAGCCTGAATGGCAGCCACCACAGTCCACAGGGTGATCTCTGAAGAGTGCAAGCATGAGTCCTTCTCAGGAGACACTTGCAGAGCCGGGGACGTCAGCAAAGCTCTCAAAGACACAGACTGTATATCTTGCTCAAGGGCCTATTAGCAAAGAGAATTAGAGATGGTCTCAGGATTATAGGACAACATATTTTGTTTTATTTTCTCAAATCATCCACCACTCCAAAAAGACACCTGGGAGGAACAACCCCTAAGCTCTAATAGCAGAGTCAATACTGTGTTCTCAACACTTAGGAGATATTGTGGGGCTTTATACTATGCTACTTTAGCACAGGTCCTCATTACCTTCTTACAACATTATTACAAAAGATTATGATACAGATTAGAATACAAGATTTTATTACAATCCTTTAACAGGTACATCCATCTACCTCCATTGTCCTCTAAACAATCTTTTTTGACAGCACCTTTCTTATCTTACTAAGGCCATAAATTACAGAACAGCTGTCAATCTGAATTAGTAGAGGGGGCTTTTTTATAGAGGATTCTCTAGTCTACTCCAATTCCCCACAAAAATGTAGGCCAAAAAATATCTAATGCCAAAATAATTTCAAGTCAAAATCCTGCACTTGAAGAACAATAAAAAGGAAAGCTCTGGTGGGTGTGGGGGGGTGGGGTGTGTGTGTGTGTGTGTATGTGTATCAGAATATTTATAGCATCATTCTTTGTGGTAGCAAAAGGACTGAAAACTAAGTAGATGCCTATCAATTGGGTAATGCCTATACAAACAGTGGTACATGAATACACCGGAATTTAATAACTAATGAGCCCAGTGAATGCAGGGAAGCATGGAAAGACTTAAATGAACTAATGCAAAGTAAGTATAACCAGGAAAATAACACATACAATTGCTAATTTACAGCTATATGTTGAAATAATGAAACAAAATTGAATGCAATGAAATTATAATGACCAAGCTTGCCTCAAAGAAGAGATTTGAGAAAACACATTCCCCTCATTTGTTCGAAGAGCTGGGCGATAATGGGTGTGGAATACTGCATTCAATGTCTGACTTTTGTGATATATTGGCTAGTTTTGTGGAACTTTTTTTCCCCTTCTTTATTATAAGAGAAGATGGCTCTCTGGGATAGGATTGGAAAAAACAAATGTAGGAAGATATCAATAAAACATTTAAAACAAAGAATGAGCTAAAATGTAAACAAAATCTAAAAGTCCCAAATTAATTACCAACCAAAGCTAGACATTATCAACTATTAAAATTCCACTAGTAAGGGAGGAAATTTGTTTTTCTTCCTCCAAAAAAAAAACCTCAAACAGTAGAAAATACTACTAATGATCCAATTGGACTAGAGTCAGGAAAACTAGGTTTCTTAGTCCTGATTCTGTCACTAATTTGCTGTGTGGTGTTGAGGTAAGCCACTTCAATCAGTGGTACCTCATACCTGTCCACCCATCATCCCTCAAAGAGTTAACTGTTAATGGGTAAAATGATGCTGGAAGAAAAAAGCAGACATTATTAACCCAGTTTAAAATTACTTCAAAACTATAATGGATCTGTGATTCCAGTGATTCCTGTCCCTGACCTCCCATGTTTACCACTGGGAATCCACCCAAAGTGCTGAGTTCTTTCCTGGAGCTCTTCAGTGAAAGTCAGGAAGATACTAACAGAGCAACAGCATGACAGTTATCAATTAACTGTTTCTCTCTTAGGCTACAGAAGAAGCCTAAGGTGCCAGCACATAAAAAAAATACGTATATGTGTGTGTGTGTGTATATATATATAACACATACATTAAATACATATATTTTCTGAAATCTATTTCAATCTAATTGGTTTCCTTTGTAATTCCATGTATTTTATGTCTTTAAAAAATTATTCTGAGAAAGGGTCCCTAGGCTTCACCTAGGACACACAACAGTGCAAGGACTTTGATAGATAGCAACCTTTATACCAGCTCTTTTGTAGAATTCTTTGTAAGACAGATCCATTAGCCTTTATGTGATCCAAGGACCATAGATTAACAGCTGCTAGGGACCTTAAACATCTGGTCCAGCCTCTTCACGATACAAGAGGGGACCCTAGGACGAGTGCCTTGGCCACGATCACGTGTAGGTGGCCGAGGCAGGACTAAGTCGTCTGACTCCAAACCCATCGCTCTTCCCGGGGCTGCAGTCATCCCAGGATTCACGATCACGCCAGATCACAGGCTGTCTCTCTCCTCTGCCACCATCGGGGGTGCGCCCCACCATTGGGACAGCGGGGCCGCAGTGGGGGGGGGGTCCCCCCTTCTCAGCCATCCGCACACTGGCGCCCTCGGGGCGGGGCTGGGGCGTCGAGCCACGACCTGGGCTAGGGTCTCCCGGACCCACCCATCCAATGGCGCTCCCCAACACACACTTTCACGGCCAGGCAGGGCAGACCGCGGCCGGAAACGCGAGGAAGGCCACGGCCACGGCCGCTGCGGCGACGGGGCCGAGCTTCGCGCCAGGATGCAAGGACCCCCGCCCGCGCCGCTCTCCCTCCCCACCTCCCTCTCCCAGCCTCACCAGAGCGGGAGCCGCCTCAGCCATGGTCCCCTGCCGACCCGAGCAGGCGGGCCCGCCTGCGGCCTGGGCCGCTCGCCCCGGGCGGAACGCGCTGGTGCCGAGATGAGGAGCCAGAGCCGGCCCGCGGGCGAAGCTGTCTACACCGGCTGCCCGAAGAAGCTGGGGCCAAGCCGCCCTGTGGTCTCCGTCAAGCCCCGCCCCGGGCCCGCGGACACGTGCCGCCCGGCCCTGCGAGAGCACGCCCGGAGCGCCGACAGCGCCGACAGCGCCCCCTGTGGACCGTAGGACCTCGGCGTAGGCCGAGGGGCGCAGCTGCGCAAGACGGCCGCTTTGTTCCGCCCGGCCTTCGGGCTTTAAATCCACATTCGCAGGGCGACGAATGAAGTGGATTTAAAAACAACGCACTTCAAAGAAGCCGAACCAGAGCAATGGTACCAACCTAGAGCAGTCACGGCGAGGGCGTTTTTAGAGGCTCTCCTTTGTTCGGATGGGAAGGGGAGGGGCATTTCCACCTTGAGCTGTAATGAATATAAAGACAGTATCATTAAATTTATCGATGTAAGCCCCAGGGGCGGGGGCCGTTCCCATTGTTGCCCCGCCCCAAGCACTCCAGAGGCCTAGATCTTCTGAAGCGATTCGGGGGTGGGGGTGGGCACAGCAAGCCCTGGCAGGGCCTAGGCGGAGCCTTCGAGTCCGTACGAGTCAGCGGAACTACACTTACCCGTTTAGGACGAACTCCAAGCTTTAGGGGGTTGTTACGGGATAGAGGGAGAGGGTTCGGGGGCTCTGGTCAGGGTGGAGTGAACTTGGATGGGTAAAGAAAAAGGGGTGTCCAGCCGGAGGGTCATCGAACGGGTTGGGAGGGGTCGGCCCAGCCCTCGGGTCTTAGAACTAGGTTCCTTCAACCTCAGATTGCCACCGACTGCAGCATTAGGCAAATCACAATCTCTGATGTCATCTTCGAAATGACTGATTTCTAAGGTTCCTTTCCGGTATGGACACAGGAGAGCCTAGGATTTATATATGGAATAAAAATGAAAAGCTTTATGATCTTCCCTTCCCTCCTGCCTTGCACTTCGCATATGAGTTTGCAATTCTAATGTATTTTACCACTTACTTAGATACTGACGTATAACCATCTCTGACCCAGGAGGCAAGCTACGTGAATACAGACCCTGGTCTAAACTAGACTTTAAACCACTGCACCCCCCCCCAACACTGTTCTACAACACAGCAGGTGCTTAAAAAAATGTTTATTGGATTGGCCATTTTTATTCTTACATGTAATCGTATTCTTAAAATTGCCCTGAACCCATATAAGATTAGCTCTCAATCATGAAAAAATTTAAAAATATAAATTATGTATTTCAAACTTCAGTGTCCAATGGTGAGCATCACAAGCCATTACCCCCACAACTCTTAGCCATGCTCTCCCATAACTTCTGCTAGATATTTTAAAGTGATATGCATTCTATATGGTTCCACTCATAAAGGACACCCTACATAGTCATTTTTTTTTATCACTATTTGGCAGTAACTACTTCATTTCCTTAAATCACTGTCCAGTAACCAAGAGAACCCGCCTCTTCTCAAAGAAGGTGGGAGGGTATGCCCTAAGGACAGAGCACTGGGGAAACAACCAAAATCAACAGCAGATTCTCTTCCAAGAACTTAAGATTCGCTGCAAATATTAAGCCAGAAGGAAATCCTGAGAACTAGTGGTTTTAAGTGTTTAAATATTAAGGAAAAGGAGATCAGGAGTATCATACCATATTAACTTGGAGCCAGAAATTTTGGGGAAATTTTTTTTAAATCACCCATTATAGACCTTAAAATCTACTATGTATTGTTGAAAATAAAAAATATATTGCATACAATTTGAGTTATTGTTAGAATGCAGTCTAGTATATCCAAAAATGTATAACTTGGTGGTAGTTTTTTTTTTAACGTGAAAATGTTTTCATTTTCCCCATTTTACAAGAAATAAACAGTATCTTCCAGTTCTGGATCTTAACTCCTCCTCCCTTTCCTAGACATTTGCATCATTTACATCTGGAAGGAACCCCTGAAGCTCTCCTCTTTCTCCTAAGACCAGGGCACCAAGGTGACCAAGATCCCCAAAACTTTTAGCCATTACATGCCAGGAAACAATCTCCTTTGTGAGGCCTTCTTCACTGTGCTATTTTTGACTCTAAGCTGTACTTTAATTAGAAAAAGACCTGGTTCCTGTTCCTAGGTCACCCCAACATCCTGTAAACAAGGGCTCTCTGCCATGCTTATGTAACAGGGGCAGAATAAGTCACTGGATGGTTGCCTTTTTTTTTAAAAAACGTAAAGATCCCTATACATGGTCCAAAAGATGTGAGCTCACCATCCAAAGACAAAAATTCCAACCTATCCAAATCCAACTCTCATTTGTGTTGCCCTACAAATTTGCCACAGTGCTTAGCTACACCCAGCATGCTGAGGGCCTTCCTCACGTTTTCCTTACAATGGATGGTTACCAAGAATGTGTAGGCTGTCCCTCAAATGTATACATCCAACACAACTTTTCCAAGGAGGCATTTTTCTGACATTTTTTATGCTACTTTTCATGAACAACGTCTCATTTGTAATGTGCTGTTAGGCTAATACCCACTATGCAGTTCTCCAAAGCCTATGAATGAATATGAGCTTCAGTTCTTCCTTGACTCAAAACTACACACTACCACCAGAAACTTTGTTTCAAGGGAAAAGGTTGGAGTTACTGATCTCATTTAGGAGTCTCTGCATTATTCCACGGCTTGATGCAGTAAACACATCATCTACAAATAGAATTTGGAGGGCCTCACCACCTATAGAGAACTTCTAGAGAATTTCACTTAACCTCTGGCATGCATACACATCCATTTTATATTCCACTTGCCACGGATGATTTGAGGGTCACTGAACAAAGTTCTCTTTGTTTTTACGTCTTTCAAGATATTTTATGATTTCAATATTATGGGAGAATTTTTGGAGAAGAGCCTTTATGGCAATGTTTTGCCTGACAAAATCAAATGCTTTTTGTGGCCAATAATCAGTAAGCATGATAGGAAGATGTATCTTTCATGCCTTTCAGTCAGTTATCTGATGTGACCTATTGCTTGAAATGTGCCTGTTCCCTTAAGCTCATGAAGGACTCCCTCAATGTGTACCAAGGATGATAAAAATTTGTAGATGGGAAAGTAGGTATATGGATTAGAAGCTATTTTTGAGATCCTCTTGGTTGCCTTTTTTGATAAGAGGGTCTGAGATTTTTTATGCCTAGTTTCCTCTTCTTTCACAAACCTTGGGAATTGATTCCTTAGTGCCCTCAAAATTAGGTCACCCCAAGCACATAATTCCACTCAGTACAATCCAAATGTCTTTTCTGTTGGTTTTCTTCAGTGCTATTTCCCACTTCTTCCATCATGATGTCCAGAACTATACTGAATTCAAATGTGGTAGGTCAACTATCCTTGACAGTAAAGTTCGCTATAAAAATCTGTATAGAACTTTTGCAGTTTTGCAATCTGTTTGCTGTCCTTTCAGCTTCATTCTAAAATACCTTCAGATGACTTTAAGTCTTCTCACCAGGCTTTCTTTAAACTGTCATATAAGTGATACCTCTCCATCTCCCACCAATCCATTCTTTTCTGTAAGATTTTGCATATGGCCTGTTATTCTAAATTATCCTTGTTGTCCTTGACACTTAGCCAGATAAAGTTATATTTACTGGCTGATATAGTTTCTAGGCTATTTTAGTTTCTTCTTCATGGAAAATTATTTTATCAGTTAAATATCTGCATAAAACTGTTATAATCAAGCTTTATGTCCTTTTCTCCATCCATATCCTATTTTTTGGCATCAATTAACTTGTTTAAAATAGGTAAGGTTGCCCTTTTAATTGCATGCTGTTTTTATCATTTTTATATTTCCAAATTCTCCAAAATGAGTATCCATCCCCTTAACTTTGTACTAATTTTGATTTTTGCTCTAACAAGTCAGTGGTCTAATTGCATATACACAGTTGATTTAGGAATGATCCCCATATCACTAATGTCATTTCATTTTTTCGGTCATTTTGAGCTTATGTACTTTCCCATTTCTTTTTCCAAATGAAATATTTGCAATGTAAAGGTGTGAAGCTTCTGTGTGGTCACCAAGGGTTTGACCTCTTTCCTTACTTTTGATCCATACTGTTCAATATATATTTCTTCAAGTCAGCCTTGAAGCTAAGAAGCATTTGATTCGCTCTGTATGACCTTGGGTCAGTCGCTGGACCTCTAAGAGCTCTGGGCAACTTTCTAAAGCTCTATGTGGCAAGGCATTGATCTTGCATTGGCAGAGGACTTTTCCTCACCTAGCAGTTGCCTATGGCTAAGTTCCCTACTCTATGTGCTTCCTCTGTGCATACCTTTTGGCACAGAAGTCATCAAACATCAAGGTTTATATTAATTCAATCTAGAGGGTTGTCAAATTCTTCATAGAAGAACAAGATTCTGAATTCTTCAGAAGAATTACATGAATAGAATAACAATGGAAGAAGAGTGCCATAACTATATCCTTTAGAGCATTAGTTTACCATACAATGGAACTGATGGCAAACCTCTCTTCAGGAGAAAAGGCCTTGCTCTGCTTCTCACTGGCACTGTCCCATACTACTCTCAAAATATGTTGGGGAAATTCTGCAGTGGCCTGGTTTTTTTTTTTTGTTGTTTTTTTGTATGCCAATACTATGTCAGCTTCAGGACAAGCTGTTTGACAAATATCTAACAACTGCCAACACTTCCTTATCCTCACAAGTCTACTATACAGTGTATACTTTCAACTCTGTAGGCCATATATCAGACATCGATCTCTTCAGCAACCTTCTCATACAACCCGGCTCCTCTGGCTGCAGCTGCCACCACTATTTCAGCTAATTAGGTCAGGGAGGCTGAGGCATCTCACTGCCACTCTTATATTCTCATGATCCAAGAAGCAATGACTCATCTCAAGACACCAAGGTTTTGTAGTATTAATTTACTTGCAGTCTATGGTCTACCTACCTTATCTATAGTAGCAGCCAACCGTCTCCTGACAAATATCATCAGCCTTTATTAAGCTAAGCACTCTTCTGGAATAGACCAAGCAATTTCTCACGTATAAGGTAGTAAGGTCAGGTGGCTGACAGGTTCCTCTGGAAACATAAGTTAATAGTACCTATTCAAATACCAAACATCAGCTTTCTACTATGAAGTTTCTTTAGTGTTGAAACAGTTAGGAAACATCCCTATGATCAGCAACCCCAGCTGGTATGTGATGCCTTGTCTCCTGCCTGACATGCCTGTTTCTAATGCCCACTGGCATTCCCTGAATATGAATGGTAACTCTCCCTGAATCCATGGTGCTCTAAACCTCAGTTCTGTGCCTCAGGTCAGCTATGGTTTTTTCAGTGAACTCTTGCTCACTAAGGAAATCAAAATTTGCAAGATTCAGCAAAATAAAAAAAATATTTTGTTCAATGTTTGAGAACTTAGATCTCATTATTTGAGCAATTTTTTTGGAGAACGTATTTAAAAATGACTCTTCCTGCAGTTCTCTTTTCAAATGACTTCCCTTTCAATTGCCATGAAGTTTTGAAAATAAAGTTAAACACGCATCGCTTTGTTCAGCTAGCTAGCTGTCTGTCCACCAGCTACCTGAAAGCACCCTGATACATCAGCTGACATTGATATATAATAAGCTCAAGGAGAAGGTTCCAAATGTGATGTCTTTGGGTACACAGCTTAATGGAAATATCCCTTAGGAACATCCAACTTCTTTTGCTTCAATATTATGCTCAATAAACCTTCTGAATATTCATTTAATCTCCTGAGTTGTCCAGGTATGGTTGTCAGGCCAAGCCTATCTCCCACTGTAATTTAATAAATTTTCACTGTTTTATAATAAAGCCAGCTCCTGTGAATGTGGTTAGCATTCATCAGTTCATCATTGCCCCTCTCAAGTTAAAAGTCAAAGTTGTAACGCTATGAAACTCAGGATGAGACATTGAACTGTGGTGACCTCACCAGGTAGATTTTACTCATTGTAATTACAAGGGAACTATCAAGGCTGAAGTTGGACTAAGAACTTGTAAGGGTTTCTCATGGTAATAATACTAGTTATCACCAAATTTACCAAATATTAAAGCTCCTTTGTCCAAGTAAGCGATAGTTCAAAGGAAGTCACTCTCCTGTTTATAAAGCAAATGTTCAAAAAGTAAGAGTCCCATCCTGTGAGGACTAATAGGGGATGTTTTTAAGGGAGGAGTTTAGGGAAAGGACATAAAGCTGAGAAGACGTGCAGCGTTCTTACAAACATTAGAAAGTTTAGTTCTATGGCAGGACAAACCTGTGTCATGTAGCTGACCTGCATTTCAATGCAATGGAAGTTACTGACTCCACAGAGCCTTAAATGTAAGCTTCTTGACCAGTTCCCTTGTAACACCCCAAGTAAGGGTGCCTCTCTCACTTCAGCTCCCCAAAACTAGGAAAGCTATTTTTGACAGGAGGAAAACACCAGATAAGGGCTTTTTGCTAGTTAGCAGTTTTATTCTATGCAGAGCACAATGAGGAATTCCTGTCTGAACCAGGAACCCTTTCCCTCTTTTTCCACCAGAGACATCAGTAATAGTAATGAGCATTTGGCAGTGGCTTCGGAGGTAAGGAACTGAATACTTCCTTTCTTTGTCTCTCTGAAAGTAAGACCCACAGCCAATTCCAAAACCTGGAAAACCCTGATAAACCAAGGCCACAGACCTTCATGGAGCAACTAAGGTCATACATACATACATACATACATACATACACACATACATACAGAAGAAATAGGCCCAGTTCCTTGCTCACAAGTGAAGCCCTGAAACCAGATTCTACACTTGTTCCAGTGACAGGGCTCAAAGTTTACCTTCACAATCTCTGCAGGGGCTTTAGGATTTTAGCAATTTTATCTCTTCCCCTTGATTCTCTATAGACAAAGCCATTCCTACTTATGAATTCCAGGAGCTAGTCAGAGGAATACCAGAAACACTTCCTCTGCTCCCTGATTTTTCCACAGTGAAGGCAACACTAAAGAAACCTCATATCCTTTATTCCCTCCTAGAGGGTGGGCCCAGTCCCACTGTTAGGAACAACCACTTCTTTTAGAATTAAAAAAAACAACTGTCAGAAATCCTGGTTTTAAAAATTAAATGAAAAAATCCTCAAACTGAGTTCAAGACAGATATCAACAGAGAAAGGAAAGTGGCTCATTTAAGTTAATCCTCCTACATGTTAACACCAAATATAACTTTTTTTTAAAAAAAGAGAAATGTAATATTGTGCTTCCCAACTTCCTGCCACAGGACTGCTAATACCTCTGGCCCTGCTCCCCCAGAGGCAGTTACAAAACGCCCCACAATACGCCTTGGGGTGATCACAGGTCACCTGGAGGGGCAGAAGGGGTTCTGTGGGAATTTCCATTCTGGGATTCTTGTGAAGAACACTACCTGGGCCTGGCAACATAACAGAAGTCCTCACCAGGTGGCAGACCTTAGACCACTCCAACCCACAAGCCCTGGGGTAATGTGAAAAACAAGAGGCACAAAGGATTCCAAAGAATGGCTGACTCATCAGCAGGTGGAAGGCAGGATAAGGAAGCCTGACTCTCAGGCTACCTACCCCATCTCAGCATGGTTTTCAGGGAAGAGTTCGGGCTCAGTCTAGTGCTTGGTCGGAGAATGGAGAGAGGAGGGTAGGGGGGTGACTGAGCTCACCCTGCCCTAAGGCAGGATCTAATTGAGAGGTGCCTCACCCTGCACAGTGACTTTCCAGGGGGCTTATGCCGGCCCCCCCTGCCCCGGGGATAGATGAGGGGCCGGCATCCTTAGAGCAGCCCATCACTCCCTCCAGGTTCCAGGGCCAGCCCACCCCGTTCTCTCTGGTGGATCTTCTGGTGCTGTAATAGGTGCTGCTTCTGGACAAAACTCTTCTCACATTGTGCACAACTGTAGGGCCGTTCACCTGTGTGGATGCGCTGATGTCGCACCAGGTCAGAAGGATGGCTGAAGCTCTTGCCACAGTAGCCACAGATAAGTGAGCTGCGGCTCTTCCTCCAAGGGATGTGGCCCGGTAGTGCCACCAGACTGTTGGGTGAGAACCTCTCCTGAACTCGCTGGCCCATGCTTGAGCCATCCTGCAGGTGGCACCGTTGGTGGGTCACAAGGCTTGCCTTACAGCTGAAACTTCTCAGACACTCCTCACACCGGTGTGGCTTCATCTTCTTGGCCTGAGGTTTGAGCTGGGGCCTGGGCCGTAGATTCTCCTCAGGTTCTGGATCCCCAAAGGACCCCCAACCAGGGTGGGTCCTCATATGAACAGCTAGCTGCTGCTTGTATCGGAAACTGATATCACACTCAGAGCAGTCATACGAACCAGTGGCTGGGGGGCTTCGTGGGTGGGCCAGACTCCTTTTCAACCTCATACCCTGTCTGCATTCCTGACCTGATCGGGCTTGCCCACTAGATTTCCGCTTCCGATGAAAGCCCAATGTTTTGGCATCACTTCGGTCTTGGTTACACTCAATAGCTTCTTCCAGTTTAGCAACTTCTGGGTCAGTCTCCAAAAGGATAGAATTGCCCTGACCATCCCAGGTTGCAGCCTGCTCAGGGATTAGCAAAGTATGCTGTTCAACACTACCAGAAAACTCTCCAGGCAAGTCTTCAGGGCTTTCTTGATGGTACTTCATCTCCTGTTTGATCATAATTCCATCTGTTAGAGAGGAAAAGAAGAGGAGAAACGAACAAAAAAGTGAAATTCTAATATCATTGAACTCGAGACAAAAAAAAAACTCTTAAAACAGCTTTGCCTTTAAAGAGTTCAATATAAGCCATCCAAACAACAAATGATTTAGGAATATTACTCTTTACCTACAGGAGAGGCAGTGAAAACTAGTTTCAACACTTGAAAACACTAAAGCCATTTCTTACAAATATATATTTGCCATGTATATTTAAGATCTGATCTAAATTATCTGGTTTCAAAACTTTCTTCCTGACTTATGCAGCTGTATTCCAGTCTACTTCAACTCTGACCTCTTCCTCAAGCTCCCTTTATTCCATAGTCTTGAGAAGGGAAACATGGGAATATCTTTATATCATCTTTTCTGGACTGTTAGTACAAAAAGGCAATACAGGGTTTGGAGGAGAATTAGGTGTGTCATCCTTCAATTGCAAGAAATAGGGCAAAACAAACAATAGTTTATTGCAATGGTGTCAAAAATAGACTACTAAGGCAGAGATCACTCAATCACATTAAAATATAATTGGGAAATGTGTAACAAAATAAAAAGAGAATACAACATAATTCATGGTTTTCTAAGTCAATATGGGTCCCTCAAGGATCACTTTTATTTGAGTTTGACATCACTACTCTAAGGGATCACAGAATGACCCAAAGGAGTAGGTGATTAAACAATCAGTGAGTAAGAAAGCAGGGTTACATCTCACTCTCCTCTTGATAGTCAATTATGGATTGTTTAAAAAAAAACAATAACTTGAATACTCTCTCATTCAGTCCCAGTCCCACAGCATTCTCAGGAGACTCTGAGCCTGAGACCCTGAGACTCAACTCCTCTGCACAAATTTCCATCCCTCCCCTGCAGTCCTCTTCTTCTGTCCCGAGTCATCATGGCTGCAGAGGATTCTGCAGTAGCAGCTAATAAATAAAACCTACACGAACTTCATTTTTTAATAGAAAAAGTAGCAAAGGATGAGTAAGCACAGAAGGGCTATGCTTACATTATTTGCTTTCCGAAATCCATCCCTCTGCTTAACTTCTCTATTTCCATGTTCATCATCCTTCTAGTCTTACAAGTTCTCAATCTTCTTTCTCTTTATCCTTAACTCTTCATTTAACTCTAACTGCTCTCTTTAAAGTTATCAGTGGTCTCTTAATTGCCAAATCAGAGGACATTTTCTCAATCTTAAATCTTCCTGACCTCTCTAAAGCCTTTGACACAGCTGACCACCCTCTTGTCCTGGATATTTACTCTCTTCTCTCTGGGTAATCCTGACATGGTTCTTTCTTGGTTCTCTTCCTTTCTGTCTAAACCTTCCTTCTCAGTCTTCTTTGCTGGCTCAACACCCAAATAATACCCCCTCTGTGGGTTTACTGAGTCACTCTTCTCTTCTCTCTCTACGTTCTCTCAGCTGATGGATTTAACTATCATTTCTACGTAAAACTCTCCCAGTTTTACTTATGTGGCCCTACCATGTCTCCCAAACTCCAGTCTCACACCCTAAGCAAGTCATTTAATCTCTCTGTGCTTCAGTTTTTTTCCATTTATAAAACAAGGGGATTAGACTCATTGGTCTCTAAGGTCCCTTTCTATTCCAAATGTGATCTTGTGATCATGAACTACCCATCAGACATTTTCAACTGGATGCCCTGCAGGCATCTCAAATTCCGTATGTCCAAAAGAAAACTCATGACTTTTGCCTCAGAATTTACTTTCTTCTGAACTTCCCTATTAATGATGATGGCACCACCATCCTTCTATTCACCCAGGTTCTCAATCTTGGTGTTATCTTTGACTCCTCGCTTACTTTCAGCTCATACATCCAATCAGCTGCCAGATCTTGTCATATCTACCTCCTTAACACCTCTCCTATACAGACAGTTCTCGCTTTGTGTAAATTCACATTATGCAAATTCGACTTTATGTAAATAACTCTCAAAGAAATCTGTATTCCAAAAGAACACTTATGTTAACTTTACTGTACTGTATTGTGCTCTCTCTCCACTTCTGTCCCTTGGCTCAGCACTCCACAGCCTTCCACCTCCAAACCAAAACAAACCAAAACAAACCAAAACAAAAAACCTCCAAGTGAAAACAGAATGGAAGTGAGGAAAGATTGCCCTGCTACTGCCACAGATTGAGGGTTTGGCTTGAGACCTTGGAGCTGAGAGAGATTTCTGCTCCACTCCACCCATCCACTTGCATGTCTGGCCTGTGTGTGTCTCTCCTCCATCTATCCAAGTGTCATCTATCCTCTCCTGTCTATGTCCGTATCTGCTTCCCCCCCCCCATTTTTCTCCTTCCAGTATGTTCCTCCTCTTGCTCTTAATTCTCTGTCCCTAGCCCCCATGTGTCCCTGAACCATGTAGTTCATGTAGAGGTGAACCCTCCTTGGGAGGGGAGCTAAGGGGGGGATTTGGCTCCCCACCCCATCCTGCTACCCTCCCTCCCTTCCCCATATGCATGGGCTAATTCACATTATGTAAAAATCACTTTATGGAACGGTCCACTTATGTAAAGTGAAAACTGTCTGTATACCTCTTCTCTCCATTCAGATAGCAACCACCTTATTTCAGGGCCTCATCATCCAGACAATTATAATAGATTCCAAATTAGTTTCCCTGCCTCAAGTCTTTTCTTACTCTAACCTAACCTCCATACTGGCTTAGGAAAAAGTGATTTTCCTAAAGCTTAAGTCTGATCATGTCACCTTCTGCTCTTTAATAAATTCTAGTGGTTCTCTATTATTTCATCTTTATCTCATCATTTCTTAATTTCTATTTTCTATTTAAGTTTTGTAATGTACATGATTATTAGTACAGTTGTACATGTATTTAATTTAAAAGTAAATATGTTTTGGGGGTACAGGCACAAAAATTTTTTACTGATGGGGTGTGAGAGAAAGTTTGGAGGCTGCTGGCTTTTGGTATCAGCACTTCCTCTAGATTATTCAGGAGAGTCACATATAAGGGGCTGGCATATTTTTTAATCAAGCCAGGAGTGATATCAAACCATGGTGATAAGAAAGAAAATGCGGTGAGAATGGGATATAGACATAGTCAGAGAGGCTAAATGAAGATGGGGCGGGGGGAGGTGTGGTACAGCTATGGTGCCCATGATGTTGGGAGCCTAGGTCTCACTTTCTTCATAAAATTTGTGAGATACAACTTAAATATGGCTCTGGTAGGACCTTATACAAGAGAAAAAGAATAGATAAAAAGGCTTGAGAAGCAGCATCATATATTTAGAAGATATGTGAGGAAACTCAGGAACCTCAGAGAGTAAGTATGAAGAGTACCTAAGTGAGACTCAATGAAGGCAGAGACAGATGTGATACTGCCACCGGAGTATACTGCAAACTGCCTGGACTGAAGAAGCATTATTTGTTTGGGAATGGACCCCAAAACAAAAGAAGAAGAAGAAGAAATACACATAACACAAATCTGGCCTGAAGGCATTTGCTGGAGCTCTATGTCTCTCTCTAGATGAAGTACTGGGTATAAATAAAAAGAAAGCCAGTTTAGAGTTCAAGGATATGCCTTCAAACCAGGGCCAACCTAGTGTACCCTTCTGCAAGTCATTTATCCTTACTGAGTCTTAGTTTCCTCCCTTGTAAAACAAGGGATTGTACTAGATGATTGATCCCAAGATTTTCTCTCCTCTCCCACCTCATCAGTGGGAGTCACAAGTGTATTCTGCTGCTACAGAAATCACACAGGTGCATGAGAAATGTGAGAAAGTGAGAACCATGGACAGATGGAGCCTAGAGCTGAACTGTGCTAGCTGAGCTGACTCAAAATTTCCTATCCCTAGGGAAGAATATCCAGAGAATAAGACTACCAAGGATTTCCTAAATGGCCTAATAAAAGTCATTTTGGCTTGTGGAGGATAGGTTGTGTGAAATGGCCATTGATGCAATAGCAGTAGATGGTTTGGTCAACATGAGGCCCATTTTGTGTGAGAATTGAAGGCTCTGCCTTAGCCCTTCCTTAAAAGCTAGTGAAGGAAGGTATAAATCAAAGGCAAGTACAGCATCCATGCAGATGAGGCCAAGTAGGCACTGAGTGACCTTTGTGTCATGCCTTTCTAAACATGGTGCTTTCCAGAAAGCTGGTAAACAATTTTTACAGCATGTATCCCTGATAAAGGCCTCATTTCTCAAATATACAGAGAACTGAGTCAAATTTATAAGAATACATGTCATTCCCCAAGTGATAAATGGTTGATACGCACAGGCAGTTTTCAGACAAAGAAATCAAAGCTATCTACAATCTTATGAAAAAATGCTCAAATCACTATTGATTAGAGAAATGCAAATCAAAACACCTCACAACTATAAGATTGGCTAATATGGGGGCGGAGCCAAGATGGCAGAGTAAAAGCAGTGACTTGCTTGAGCTCTCCCCCAAACCCCTCCAAATACTCATAAAAAATGGCTCTAAACAAATTCTGAAGCAGCAGAACCCACAAAAAGACAGAGTGAAACAAATTTCCAGCCCAAGACAACCTGGATGATTGATCAGAAAGGTGTATTGCGCCGGGCTGGGAGCGCAGCGCAGCGTGGGCGTGCAGGCCGCAGCAAACCTGGAGCAGGCCTCAGAGGACTGAATCGCGGGCAACTGTGGAGGTTTCCAGACTCCTCAATCCACCACGAATGCCAAAGACAACTTAGAAGGTCAGTGGGAAAAGTCTGTTTCTGTCAATGGTCAGAGAGGAAGGCGGGGTCTCAGCTCCATTCCCCAAGAGCCTGGAGGGGGGGGCCAGCTGCTTCCTGAGCTTCTGGCCCACAGACTGAGGGGGAATCCAGTGGCTGATCAGAGAGGGACTGCAGGGATCTCTTTGCCAGTGCTGAGGCAGGAATCTCTTGCTTTGCCCGTGTGTGGATCTGGGTCACAGTTCTGGGCGGCAGTGCTGGGGTGAGGAGGAACGCTGGCATGGTGGAGCTTGTAGTGGCTGTGGAGAGGAACCCCTCCTCACAGTTACAGGACAGAAAGGAATACTTGTGGTCACAGGCCAGGAAAGGAGTAAACACCTCACCCCTTATCATACCACCTTGGAAGAACTGAAAATTTACAGGTCCCTACAAGTATCTCTGAAAACAGCTACACAAACCCCTGAAGCTTGGGACAGTACATTCTCCACATTGGAAGCAGACTCTTACCTTAACAAGGAGTTTAAAACTCAAGTAATTGGCTGGGATCATGAGCAAGCAGCGCAAAAAGAGTCAGACTATATTATCTTACTTTGGTGAAAAAGATCAAAATATACAACCAGAAGAAGACAACAAAATCAAAGCTCCTACATCCAAAGCCTCCAAGAAAAATATGAATCAGTCCCAGGCCTTGGAAGAGCTCAAAAGGGATTTTGAGAAGCAAGTAAGGAAGTAGAGGAAAAACTGGGAAGAGAAATGAGAGTGATGCAAGAAAATCATGAAAAACAAGTCAACAGCTTGCTAAAGGAGACCCAAAAAAATACTGAAGAAAATAACACCTTAAAAAACAGCCTAACCCAAATGGCAAAAGAGGTCCAAAAAAACAATGAGGAGAAAAATGCCCTAAAAAGAAAAATTGGCCAAATGGAAAAGGAAGTCCAAAAGATTACTGAAGAAAATACTTCCTTAAAAATTAGAATAGAGCAATTGGAAGACAGTGACTTTATGAGAAATCAAGACACTGTAAAACAAATCCAAAAGAATGAAAAATTAGAAAACAATGTGAAATATCTCATTGGAAAAACAACTGACCTGGAAAATAGATCCAGGAGAGAGAATTTAAAAATTATTGGACTATCTGAAAGCCATGATCAAAAAAAGAGCCTAGACATCATCTTTCAAGAAATTATCAAGGAAAACTGCCCTGATATTTTAGAACCAGAGGGCAAAATAGAAATTGAAAGAATCCACCGATCTCCTCCTGAAAGAGATCCCCAAAGGAAAACTCCTAGGAATATTATAGCCAAATTCCAGAGTTCCCAGGTCAAGGAGAAAATATTACAAGCTGCCAGAAGGAAACAATTCAAGTACTGTGGAAACACAATCAGGATAACACAAGATTTAGCAGCTTCTACATTAAAGGACCGCAGAACATGAAATATAGTATTCTGGAGGGCAAAGGAGATAGGATTACAAAAGAATCACCTACCCAGCAAAACTGAGTATAATCCTTCAGGGGAAAAAATGGTCATTCAGTGAAATAGAGGACTTTCAAGCATTCCTGATGAAAAGACCAGAGCTAAACAGAAAATTTGACTTTCAAATACAGGACTCCAGTGGAACATGAAGAGGTAAACAGGAAAGAGAAATCATAAGAGACTTATTAAGATTGAACTGTTTACATTCCTGCATGGAAAGATGATATTTGTAACTCATGAGAACTTTGTCAGTATTAGGGTAGTTGAAGGAAAAAAATTGTATGTATGTATATATAGATAGATAGAGGGCACAGGGTGAGTTGAAGATTAAGGGGTCATATCTGGAGAATAAAATTAAGGGATGAGAGAGGATGATACTCAGAGAAGAAAGGGAGAGGTAGAATGGGGTAAATTATCTCACAAAAAAAAACAGAAAAGAAAAGTCTCTCACAGTGGAGGGGAAATAGGGGAAGGTGAGAGGGAATGAGGAATCTTATTCTCATAGGATTTGGCTTAAGGGAGAATAACATACACATTCAATTGGGTATGGAAATCTGTCTTACCCTACAGGAAAATAGGGGGAGAAGGGGAAAAGGGAGCAGGGGGTGATAGAGAGGAGGGCAGATTGGGAAAGAGGGTAATCAGAAGCAAATACTTCTGAGGAGGGACAGGGTCAAAAGAAAGAATAGAATAAATGGGAGGGCAGGATAGGATTAAGTACAACCTATACTGAGTTGCTTACCTTTTCAATGAGGGTGGGTGGGGAGGGAGGAAGGGAGAAAATTTGGAACTCAAAGTTTTAAAAGCACATGTTTTAAAAAAAAGTTTTCACATGCCACTGGGAAATAAGAAATACAGGAAATGGGGTACAGAAGTCTATCCTGCGCTACAGGAAAATAGAAGGGGAAGGGGATAAGAGAAGGGAGGGGGGAGAGATAGAAGAGAAGGCAGACCAGGGGAAGGGGTATTCAGAATGCATGCTATTTTGGGGTGGGGGGAGGGGTGAGAAATTTGGAACTCAAAAACTTGTGGAAGTGAATATTGAAAACTAAAAATAAATAAATTTATATAAAAAAATTTAAAAAAAAAGATTGGCTAATATGACAGAAAAGGGAAATGACAAATGTTGGAGGGGATATGGGAAAACTGAGACACTAATGCACTGCTGGTGGAGTTCTGAACTGATCCAATTGGGATTGGAGAGCAATTAGGAACTATGCCCAAATGGCTATAAAACTGTGCATACCCTTCGATCCAGCAATACCACTAGTAGGTTTATATCCCAAAGAGATTTTTTAAAAAGTGGGGGGAGGACATATTTTTACAAAAATATTTATAGCAGCACTTTTTGTAGTGGCAAAGAATTGGAAATTGAGGTGATGTCCATCAATTAGGAAACGGCTGAACAAGTTATGGTATATGATTGTAATGGAATATTATTCTGCTATACGAAATGACAAGCAGACTGACTTCAGAAAACCTAGAAAAACTTACATGAACTAATGCAAAGTCAAATGAGCAGAACCAGGAGGACACTGTACACAGTAACAGCAATACTACATGATAATCAACTATGAACGCTTAGCTATTCTCAGCAATACAATGTTCCCAGACAACCCCAAAAGACTCACGATGGGATAATGCTATCCACCTCCAGAGAAAGAAGTGATGGTGTCTGAATATAGATCAAAGCATACTATTTTTCACTTTCTGTTTTTTCATGCTTTTTTCCCCCCTTTGGGTCTGTATCTTCTTTCATAACATGACTAATATGCTAATATGTTTTGCATGATTGAACATGTATAACTTTCTCGGGGAGGGAAGAGGTGAGAAAGGGAGAGAGAAAATTTGCAACTCAAATTTTTAAAAACTGAATGTTAAAATTTGTCTTTACATGTAATTGGGGAAAAAATATTATCAAAAAAAAAATAAATGTGGTGCTTTCTCCGATTACCTCCCATTTACACTGTATGTGTCCCATACTTATATAGTTGTGTTTGCATGTTATCTCCCCCATTAAACTGTGAGTTCCTTGTGATCAGGGACCATGTTAGTGCCTTTCTTTGTATCCCCAGCACTTAGCACAGTACTGACACTTTGAAGTGCTTCAAAAATGCTTGACTGTTAACTGACCAAAGTCAGATTACTATATTGGAAACAGCACTGGATTAGTCAGCGCAGTTCCCTTTTTACCCCAAACAATGTCATCGGCTGCACAGTTGGTGATCTGGAACACTTCTGAATCCATCAGTTTTCTAACTGAGCCTTATACTTTTATGACTAGCACTGCCATGGTCTTGTGAATAAATTCAGAAGGAAAATGAAGTACAGTCCTTGCTCACAAGTTTATAATTATAAAGTTAATTAACAGTTCATTAATAATATAAGAAAACACCTCATTTAAAATCCATCACAAAGTAATCAAAGATGGGTTCCAGAAGAGTACAGGAGGGTAAGGACCCTCAGAGGGAGAGATTACTGTAAGTTACAGTAGAAAATATCCTGTAGCCACTCACCTGGGTGGGGACCACCAGGGCTCTCCCCAGCCAAATCCCCCAGTTCCTCTGTACCAGATTCTTCTTCCTGGTGGGCCAGGATCTCAGGGTTGGAAATGGCACAGTCTGAGAACAAGAAAAGAAAAAAGAGAAACACTGAGTATTTAGCTTGTGATTGGTGACCAAAACTCCCAATGCTAGACCTCAGGAGAACCATGGGAAAACTGTAACTATTTTCCCTGTCCCAGCTGCTTAGGTCACTTCATAAATTCATAGATTATGTGATTTTTTTGCTGTCATTTAGTTGTTTTCAGTTGTGTCTGACTCTTCATGATCCCTTTGGGAGTTTTCTTGACAAAAATATTAGAGAGCTTGTCATTTTCTTCTCCAGTTCATTTTATAGATTAGGATTGCTTAAATTTATTTTGCCCACACTGTGAATGATCAAGTATTTCAATTTTATGCATTTTCAATTTTTCCAGAGACCTTTGATATGTTAACAAGACATAAAGTCTTACCTAAGCTAATCAATTCAACAAACATTTATTAAATGGGTACTAAGGTACTATCTTAGTTGCTGGGGATACAAAGACACAGAATGACCTAGACTCTATTCTCAAGGAGTTTACTCCTAACAAGGCAAAAAAGACATGGACACTTATGATTATTATACAAGAGAGAGACTCTGATTAAGTGCAAAGGAGAGGTCCAGGCACTACAGCAAAAACAATGAGGTATAATGAAAAGAATGATAGTCTTGAAATCAAAAGACCTGGGTTTGAGTGCTGGCTCTAACACTTATTAGTTATATGCCCACAGGGAAGTAATTTCACTTTACAGATAAAGATATGTAGACGTGCTTTTAAAGAGCAATTTAATTACAATGGAAGACACTTCCCACTCAGAGAATCTATAGCTTCACAGAAAAATTCTTCAATTAAAAAGAACTTGTGATAGAGGGGTACTGGATGGGGCATTAACACCAAATATTCTTAAAAACTCAATTGTAAAATATCCAAGGCAAGGTAAGCTGGTTTACCCTTTGCCACACTCTACAACCTTCTGACCCATCTTCCTCACTCAGTTGGTGTGTACTAAGAGAACACAAATATACTCTAAGAGCAAGTTTAAGATAAGTATAAATAAATGATTCCACCACCCTGAGGATTGGATTTATGATCTCTAAGGTCATTTTCAACTTTAAATCCATGATACTATGAAGTGTTATATACAATATTCCAAAGGCAATATTATTTTACAACATTATTTTCCAAAACTATCACCACATCTTTCTTCATCCCTATAAAAACCCAGTGAGGTAAGAAAGATATTATCTATCTTGACAGATTAGGAAAGAAGAAAAATGACTTGCCCACAATCATAGTTAAGAGACAGAGCGATTAAACAAATCCAATTCTCCTGTCTTCTAATATAGTGTTCCTTCCATTTGATCATGCTTTTCTTATTAACAAGGAAAATCAAGACCTACCCAGGAGATCAAAGACGATAAATGCCAGTGGGACTTCTAAATATTTTTGCAAATGAGAAGAAAAGGGAGATTCCTATATTATGAGCTGGCAACGGATATCATAAGGGCCCAGGTCAATTACTGTCCCCATCCCAGAGTCCATAACAATCAAGATAATTCTACAAAAGGAACTTTCCTTACCCAGAGAGACGAGGGTCTCAAAGTTGCTCTTCATCACATTCCTGTAAAGTTCTTTTTGCCAATCATCCAAGTTCTCCCATTCTTGCTCTGAGAAATAGACTCCATCATTTTCAAAAGTCCCAGGCACCTGAAATCACAAGGATTACATACTGAGTGTCTCTTATCATCATGGCACAGCTTGACCCTTCAAGAAAAAAGCAAGAAACCAGAAATGAAAGCGTATACAAGGTCAAATATCCCCTTCTAACCCTCAGCTCCAGACTTAGATTACCTTGGGGACCTCGCCCTTGCTGCCTGGGGGCAGTCGCAGGATCCAGAAGTTCCTGTTTCTCAGCAGGTTCTCCATGTTCTCTAGCCTCCTCTGGAGCAACCCATACTCCTGTACCAAGGTCCCTAACACAGCCCATTTGCCCTCCAACTGGTTCCCAAACTCTACTGCTGTCTTCTCATAATCAGCCAGTTTCTTCTCTGCCATCCCTGTCCGCCCCTCCAGGGTCTGTAATCGGGCAGCCTGGGACTCCACCTTCTTTTCCACTGCCTGAATGGCTGCCACCACAGTCCAGAGGGAGATCTCTGTACTCTGTAGGTATGAATCTTTCTCTGAGGCTGAAGGCAGGAGTGACGAGGAAGTTATAGATGTGGAGCGTCGTTTTCCCTTGTTCTGAGGAATGAAAGACAGAATTATGATCACAGTCTGATTAGACAATGACAGTTAAAACATACAACAATATGAAAAGAACTGCCATGTTTCAAAGTTGTTCAACAATGTCTAGCTTAGGATCTAAGGTTTTTCCTGGTTTAAAAAAGATAAAAGCACCACACAGATTTCACTGAGCTTTCTGACATTTATCATCATCCTAAAAGTGGAAAAAACACTATAGGTGAAACTCAAAGGAAACATAACCAAAATCATGATTTTCTGGGAATTTTGTTCTTTTTTTGGTGGGGAGGGAGAAAAGGTGGGGATAACACAATAAAAGAAATCAACAGCAATAGTCCACATAAATGAAATCCACAAATAATCCTCCAACTAACTTAACCACCTCCAGGGAAGACCCAACAGTCACGATTCTGCTCGAAGAACCACTTCTTGTTTACTGTGGGCTAAATTCTGTTCCAGGTGTTGGGTCTATTGGGAAGAGCACATGATTAGGAGCCAAGTGAGCTAGTTTCTAGCTGACAGTGACTAGCTGTATGAATAATGGTTTCCTCATCTGTCAAATAAAGTCACAGTCAACAAGTCTATAAGCATTTATAAAGCACCTACTATGTGTCAAGCACTAACCACTGGGGATGCAATGGCAAAAAGAAAAAAATAAAGAAACTATAAGAGAGGAAGGGAAAGGAAAAGGATACTAAGATTAGACTTTTTTAAAGGTCTATTCCAGCTCCAAAATGTGATAAGTCTACAAAACAGCTGACAGAAGCAAAATGTAAGTGCTGCTTGGCCACCCTAATACGTCCTGCCATAAGACTTTCCCACCCACTTTTCATCTTCCAGTCCTAGGGGCAGGCAATCCATGAAATAAAAAGAGATAACATTCCTGTCCCATGTTCATCTGCTACTACCAACATCTCTTGTTACCAAGTCCTATCCATTTTTTCATCCTTGATATGAACTTTAAGTTGTCTTTCCAGCACATTCATACTCCCAGGAGGCTGACTGACAAGCATAGATCTATCAATCATTTGCCTGGGGTCAGTAACACAGTCTGGAGCTGCACAAAACAGGATAAAATCAACTGGTGCATGTGGGGAGTTTCAAGACCAAAACCATGGCCTCATTGGCAATATACCCTAAACCAAGTGAGTTATCCTGGCTATCTACCCTCTCCACCTGTCCCATACCCAGCTAGCAAAAAACTATGCCAGATATTTAAATATCAAAAATGGTCAAAAGGAAAAACAAAAAAAAAATACACATACAAGATGCATACACACACACACACACACACACACACACACACACACACACACACCCATGTCTATTTTGCCCATAATTTTAGGTTTATAAAGCAAGGACCATGGTCACTCAATAAATGGTAAATAGCAGAAATGTAGAGAAGAGGATAAAGAGAAACAAAGAAATACACAAACAAATTGTCAAATCTTTGTTGAGACTGCTACATGGATCATTTGGCAAATCCAAGGCATAAGGGATACGAGAAGGGTTCTTTCTAAACATTGTCTATATTGTTTTTAGGTTGTCTGTTTCCCAAATGCCTAGATCCTAGGCTTTCAGTGAATTCGTTATGTAGAAGTTCCCTTTCTACCACTGATTTTCTCCCCTACCTAATATAATATGCAGCATCACTCTCCAGTGTTTTGAAATGCTGCCATCAGACAAGTCCACCACTACTTTAGAAAACAGACCTCAAAATACACAATAATGGATACCATAAAAATACTTGTTGAAACAGTTCTCAAAAGACCTGAGAACTATTTATTAAAAGTCACATGAAAGACTGCTCCAAGTCACTGATATTCAGAGAAATGAAAATCAAAACAACTGGGAAGTTTCACCTCATATCCAGAAAATTAGGAAACATAACAAAAGATAGAAATAATAACTGTAGGGGGAGCTTTGAAAAGATAGGCATATTAATTCTGTTGGTGGAGTTATGTATTGGTTCAAACATTCTGGAAAGCAATTTGAAATTATGCTAAAACCCTATAGCCAAAAGTATACCCAATGGATGTCAAAGAAAGGCAGATCCCAGATGTACAGAAATATTCATGGCAGCACTTTTTGTGCTAGCAAAGAACTGGAAACTAAGTAGAGTTAAACAAATAGTGGTAAGTGAATATAATAGAATATTACTATGCCACACAAAACGATGGATATGAAAAATTCAAAGAAGCCTGGGAAGATTTAAACAATGATTACAACGATGCAAAAGCAAAGAACTAAAAAAAAAAGCCTAACACTAAAATTATAATAAGCAAAGTTGGCCCTGGAGGGAAATAAGAAAATACATCTCTCTTCTTTTTCGCAGAGATGGGGGACCACGGGTGGTAGAAAGCTATAGATAATATAAGACTATTAATATGTTCATTTTGCTGAACTGCTTTTCCTTATTTATTCTCTCTCTCTCTCTCTCTCTCTCTCTCTCTCTCTCTCTCTCTCTCTCTCTCTCTCTCTCTCTCTCTCTCTCTCATGTATTTATACACACTGGAAGACCCCAGAGGTATGTAAACAGGGATGGATGTGTGCCAAAATGAAGGTGATATAAAAATGAACAGTTTCATGCTGGCTGAGGCATTCTGACAGCAGGGGAAGGGAATGAGCATTTATTAAGCACCTACTATGATCCAGGCCTTGTGCAAAGCACTTTGCAAATATTACCTCATTTGATCTTCACAATAACACTGTGATAGGTGCTGTTATCATCCCCATTTTAACAGAGGTTAAGTGATTTGCTCAGTGTTACATAGCTAGTTAGTCTGAGGCCAGATCTGACCTCAGGTCTTCCTGACTTGAAGCCCAGCATTCCAAACACTGTGACACCAGCCACCCATGAACATATGATTCCTATTTGTGTTTCCATTATCTAGCACATTGTTTTGCTCACATTTGGAACTCAAATGATTGTTGTTGAGCTCCAGATATGAACAAAACAATGTTCTAGGTAATGGAAACACAAATAGGCATCATAGGATCCCCTTCCTCCTGGGTTACAGGGAGAAAGATGAGAGATGACCAAACAAGGCAATATATGTTAAGCCGCATTAGGTCATCTGTCTGCATGACATCTTTGCATTCTGTCTCTGTTGTGCCTTTGCTCCTATCAACCATTCCTACTCTCATGCATCTTCAATTTCTACCTGTGTTAGCTTTTTCTCTTTGACCTACAAACAAGTTGTCACCTATCCTTTAAAAAAAATATCCCCTTCCCTTGAACTTGACATTTCTTTAAGCTACCATCTTTTCTTCTTAGAGACAGCAAGATCATATAGCAGATACAGCACTGGGCCTGGAGTCGGGAAGATCAGAGTTCATATCTGGCCTCAGACTCTTACCAGCTATGTGAGCTTGGGCAAGTCACCTAACCTATTTGTCTCAGTTTCTCCAACTATAACATGTGGATAATAATTGTGCCTACCTTCCAAGGTTGCTACAAGGATCGAATGAGATAATATTTGTATAGTACTTAGCCAGTAACTGGCATATAGGTGCTTAATAAATGCTTGCTTCCTTCCTTTGCTGCTAAACTTTTCTCACCTTTCTTTGGAATCATCAACTCCTCAATCTCAGGAAATCTGGCTTCCATCTCTACCACTCTACTGAAACTGCTCCCTCCAATCTCTAGGTGTTTTATCATCAAATCCAATGGGCTTTTTACAAGTCCATACCTTCCTTTTGATACCCTTTAATTTCTTTGAAACTACTCTCCTGGTTCTTTTACTCCTTTGAGTACAAGAATCCTTCACAGACTTTTCCTCTTTCTACTCCCAAGATTTTGTTCTCGATCCTCTTTTCTTTGAACATTCTCTCCCAAAGTGATCTACTCCACAGCCAAGTTTAAATTATCATGTCAATGCACATGACTCTCAGGCCTCAACTTTTCCCTAGACCCCATTCAAAGTATCACCAGCAGTCTTACCAATTACTTCAAACTAAACAAGTCTAAAACAGAATTATCTCATAAACCCATTATTTATATGGTTACTACTATCACAAGCAATAGAAAATTCCTACTTTTAAACAAAACAGCACTAAATCCCCATTTCCAGAAGGCCAGGCAGTGCTAAGTTTTTGTTTTGTTGCTGTTTTTTCTTTTGGAGCACCTACTGTTGTACCACTGATTTGGCAATTAAACAGGTAATGAAAGCTTTGAATTCTCAATAGCCATTTAGTTATGCAAACCTTACATTGTTATATGAACAAAAGGTTTCTGAAACTGAACTGTGAACTCTGAGATGTCAGGAATACTTTTACAATTCAAATCCTACCAGGAGTACTGTGGTCTTGGTAAAACTGTGTTATCAAAGAATATGATAGTTCTATAATAACATTTTGATGATAATTTCCATTTCTAAGATATAAATTAAAATATTTAATGTACTCAAACCACTTGTTACATGCTTATTTTCTTCTAAAATTTCTAGCCTCATCCTTTTTTTATCCTGGAGGAGATGCACCATTCTCCTTGCACCAGCATCTATCACAGGTGTTCCATGTCTAAGTGTGGGAAGCATTGGCCTAACGGTAGTAGGTGCTCAATAAATGTTTGTTGATATTGATTTGATATCACCTTTGGAAATGCACTTGCCTCCTTTTAGGCCAATAAAGAATGAAACTACTTAACAGATCACCAAGTTCCACCATTCACTCATAGTGAAATAGGGAGCAAAAAAATTCCAACATGATTAATTAAATCAGTAAGCATTTATTAGGAACTATTATATATAATCAGATGCTGCACTAGGTGCTACGGATATAAATGCAAAAAGTAAAACAATCTCTACTTTCAGAACTTCAATTTTTGAAGCCCTTCTCCTCTAGGTTCACTTATATCCGTAACTAAAAGTTTCCCTCCATGAATCTTTGAAACAATGTTTGACTTCACCTATGAACTTATTTTCAAATTTCTATTATAGATATTATTATACCTCTTATCTCTTTACTAGACTATAAGCTCCCTGAGGAATAGGGAACGAGTCATTTTTCATCTTTTATCACCTGCAACTAGATTAAGGAATCAACTACAACACGAATTATATGACACTTCAGAGTTTATAAAGCATTCTTCTTAAAACAACTGGAGCTAATACACACAGGTCCTCTGACTTCAAGAACAGTGCTAGGCACAGTAATAAACATTTGTTGAACTGATCTAAATTGTACTTTATGTCAAAGCTCCCCTGTTACCAGTTTTTGACAATGGACTGGCATACATTATAGTGAAAGTCAATCATATTACAACCAACATCTCAGTCATAAACTCTCCCAGAGAAAAATAACAGGACCATCCAAATGCCATAAGTATAAAGACGGCCTTAAATTTCACTACCAGATGCCAAAGCCAAAATAAAGTTTAAAGATCACAAATCTAATTCTCACATTTGTACTCAAGGGGTAGACTAAGGTCATAGGAATAAGCATATACAAAGGCAGAGCTGAACTCTTTGAAAGCTGGATTTGGGAGAACTCTACAGGTGGCAGCTAGGTGGTGCAGTGGATAGAGTGCCGGTCCTGGAGTCAGGAGAACCTGAGTTCAAATCCAGCCTCAGACACATAATAACTTCCTAGCTGTGTGACTCTGGGCAAGTCGCTTAACCCCAATTGCCTCGCCAAAAAACAAACAAAAAAAAGGGAACTCTACAGGTAACAAAGCAACAGCAGGTTTCCAGGGATGTCCAACCTAACAGCCCAGAAGCAGACGCTAACTTTGACAGGGAGATGTGGGGCTGCAGGTTCAATATGCTTCAGTGTAAATGTACTAAAAAAAGACTTAGTCACTTACCAGCGGCAAGGCTGTAAGTTATCAATCAACCAACATCTATTTAAGCTCTTGGTATGTATGTGCTAGGCACTGGGCTAAGCTCAGATGATACAAATACAAAAATTAAGCACGCCTAGTCCCTGAACAGTTTATGATGTAAAGTTTTCAAATCTGCAAAATGGGAGCTGCTAGGTGGTGAAGTGGACAGTAGGGCCTGGAGTCGGGAAGACTCATCTTTCCAAGTTCGAATCTGGTTTCAGACACTTACTAGCTGTGTGACCCTGGGCAAGTCAATTAACTCTGTTTGTCTCAGTTTCCTGAAATGACAAACTATTCCAGTATCTTTGCCAAGGAAACCCCAAATGAGTCATGAAGAACTGGACATGAGTGAACAACAAAACAGGGACGACGACATTTGGGACTACTCATCCTAGAGTAGTGGAGAAGAGTGTTTTGCATACTGTACAAATATGAATCATGACTGTTTTTACGTTCTAACTGGATCGGTCAGCCAACTAGCATTCGCAAAGCGCCTACTATGTGCCAGGCATTCTGCACAGGTGTCATAAAGGCAAAGAATAGCATCCCAAAGAATATCCCAGGATGGTGGCACGTACGAATGGGGTGGAGAGGTGAGAAATGCGGCCAAGCTTGGAGGAACAAGACCGTCCTGATACAACCTGAACACGAGTTTCTCCCCAGCATCTTAATAAGAGTTAATTAAAGGCCTACCATGCACCAGGTCAATCGATGACACTCCCCCAGGACCAAGGAGAGGTACTAAGCTTCCCAGACCCCCAGAAAACAGACCGAGGGGCGAAGCACACTCAACACAACTCCCTAGGAACAAGCACCTAGTGAAATACACGCCGGATCTGGAGTCCGTGGCTCTGGGTTCAAAATCTGTGGGGACACCCGGCTATCTAAATAAACAAGATGACAGAGCGCTTGCTTCGCAACCCTTAAAGCGCCGCGTAGAAGGTGGCTCTCCTGCTGTGACCTTGGGCAAACCTCCCTTGCTCTCAGTTTCCTCGTCTGTAAAATGAGGAGTGGCGACCAGGCGAAGTGCGAAGCCCAGGGCAGGAGCTGCTGCCAGCTCCCCGGGAGCGTCAGCGCAGCCCCGGCACCATCCGGGTGGAAGCAAAACGCAGGTCCTCGGGGGCCGCCTCCCCCGGGGGGCGGCGCTCCTCAGTCGAGCCTGTCCCCCGCTCCGCACCCCGCGCCTCAGGTCAGGCCTCGGGGTGCCCCCCGGGCCCGCCTCCGTCCACCCCTCCGTGGGCCAGCTCCCCGGCCCACCGGGAGAACAACCTCACCGGAGGAGAAGCCGCCTCGGCCATGGCTCCCCGCTGTTGTCCTCACACAGCCGGGCCGCGAGCCAGGCCGAACCGCCGTCGGTTTGTCCGGACCCCCAGAGCAGCGGCAACCGCCGCCACCGCCGCCGCAGCCACCGCCGCCGTGTTGATACAAACTGCATCCTGGGAGCCGCGACCCGCCCCGCCCGCCTACCCCGCCAAGAGCAACCTCCGGCTTGGCAGCCCAGCCGCGGAACGACGCACAGCGCCGCCAGCGGGCCGGGCGGAGGGAGAGCAACCGGACCTCCGGCGGATGCTCAGAGCCAGGACCGGCGGATGCGCAGAACCAGGACCGGCGCCGGGGCAGAGGCCATCTTTTCTTAACCCGTTCTCGCTTTCAAAAGCAAGTAGTTTGTCAGGGGATTTTCATTTGGAAGATTTCTGGTTTCTTTGGTCCATTCTTCAACAATCATTTTAAGTGCCCTTGGTGTGTAAAGCAGTGTTAGTTTCATGGGGAGATACAAAGATAACCTGAAAGATAAATAAAATGAACAAACAAGATAATTAAATTTCTTGCCTTTATTAAGTTTATCATCTGTCAAAAGGGGGGATGACCTATATAGGATGTCCCAAGAGTCTTAGAGAAGCTTTAAATGGCTAAGTCTCCAAACTGCACCAAGACTTTTGGGACCCTAATCTTACTATACTATTCAGTGAAACAATGTAAACAATGTGAGATCTCTCAGATGGGCTGAGGGTAACAATTTCTTAGACTGTTGCCAAACTTGACGTTGGTTACACTAACCTGAATAGACCTAAATTTCAGGTTCCTAGAAATCACATGATTTGTATTGCTACATCAGCATTAGGTAATGGCTAATTACTAAATAAGGATAAAATAGCTAGGATTGGTGGTATTATATATTATACATATATATTATATATAATATATAGTATACATAATATATATTATATTATTTCTTGTTTCTGGGGTAGATTTTCTTGTTTTAGATAGTAAGGCTGAAATTCCTGTCCAATGGGAATTCAAAGCCAGTGGTGGGTGGGTATTTCTGCTATATAACCTTTGTCTTGGCCTTTGTGCCTTGCCTTGCTTCTCTCACTTTGTGCCTAGAGAATCTCTGGTTTGTTTGTTTTTTTTTTAAATTTGGGTAGGTGATCTCTGTCCCACACACTATTACTATATCACTATACTGTTACTACATTACTATACTATGTAGTAATATACATATATTACTACACTACAATTATAATGTAGACTAGCAGAAATGGTAGTAGTAATAATAATGATGATCCCCGAACATTATATAAATTTTAAAGTTTTTGAAGTGCTTTAAATTGCTTATCTCATTCATAATACGGTATGTGAGTCAGAGAAAGGAAATATCTTCTCCCCCTCCCCAGTCAAGGAGGGCTTCCTGGAGGAGGGAATGGCATTTAAGTTTCTTTCACCTTGTAGAATGTGTACCAGTTCAACAGGTGGTTTTGAGGAAAGGCATCCCGTAGATAGAGAATGAGGAGAGCCCAGGTACAAAAAAATCCTGAGTGTGTCAGGAAACACTGAGTATGGTCACGGCTTAATTTTGCTTTTCAGTGTTGTTTTAATGAAAAATAACTGCATGTTTGAAAAAAAGAGAGAGAAAAGAAACTATGTACTCCAGCGTTGCTGAAGCATGGTGCACATGTAGAAGTGTGGGGTGAGTCTGGAGAGGGAGAACTCTAAGATCATAGATTAGAGCTGGAAGGGACCTTAGTGAACCTGTAGGGAGTCACTGGGTGGCACAGAACCTTCAATGCCACGGTAATGAGTTTGGATACTACTGGGCTCTGAAAAGAAATGGATGAATGGCCAGAACTTCAAATACGGAAGACTAATCTGGTCTGAATGGGATGTTCCAGTGAAGACTTCTCAGTGTAACTAAAGTTTGGGATAAGATTATCCTAAATCTGGTAATAAGTTCGGGAGGTAGGATAGGGTTAAGTATAGATTTCTGTAAGTTCTTTTTTCTCTAGTGCCATATCAGTAGTTAAAGTCTGAAACATCTCTTCTGCATTTTGTAAGCTTTATTTCTGTCATGGTGACCTGGCTAATGTCTAGCTTGACTGCACAGTGTTAATTGCTTCTTTGACATTATCTCAGCAAACTAAGAAACATAGAGGTGTATACTATTTCCTTTGTTCTGTGGTAGAGTTTTGCGTAATGGACAGTTGGGGGGGTTTGCCCATTAGGGCTATTTAATCTGGTTCTTTGTTTCTGTGTCTGTCTGCCCTCATCAGAGAATACTGGGTGGAGGGACACCCAAATCTTGAGATTTGAAATAATAATAACAAATTAACTTTCTGTTTCTCCTTGGATACCTCTGTGTTTTGTTTTTTAATTTGAGTGGCATCCCACACAGTCAATATGAAAGTTGGAGGAGAGGCAGGGAAAACAACTAGAAGATGACTGAAAGAGTGGAAATAAGGGTTCTGCATGGTGGTATTGTGAATATAAATGAAGGGACAAATTCTTCAGTCATTATTTTAAACCCCTGTTCTCCCTGGTCTCTTTTTTTCAATTGTCAGGCATTTTTTTTCTCCCTCTTGCTTCCTTCATCCCTCCACTGAAAGAAAATAAAACAAACCCTTGTAACAAATATTTATAGTTAATCAAGGCAAATTCCCATATTGGCCATGTCCAAATGTGTGTTTCATTCCTCATGAGAGGTCTATGATCTCTCTATCTCCTGATCCTTCTGTCTTCATCATGGGCCTTCTGGAATTTTGACTAGTCATTGCATAACATGTTAGCTATTGTTATTATTTTAGCCTTCCAAATACCTGCCTCAGGTTGTACTTTTGTGATCTTTTTCCACCTTTGCAAAAAATTTTTGGGGGTTTGTAATGGTAGAAGAAGGGAGAAGAGAACAAAAGATGAGATCCAAGACAGTTCTATTCTTCAAACTATCTTAAACTAACAAAATGTTTTCCATTTCAAGAACAATTATACTATATAGACCTATTGAAATAATAAATTTAAAAAAATTAAAATGTGGTTTCAGTTTGAAGGTAAGGTTATCACACTGATGCAAATTCAAAAAATAAATACCTGGGGGCAGCTAGGTGGCAGAGTGGATAGAGCACCAGCCCTGAAGTCAGGAGGACCTGAATTCAAATGTGACCTCAGACCAAACACTTGACACTTACTAGTTGTGTGACCCTGAGCAAGTCAATTAACCCCAACTGCCCAAAAAAAAAAACCAAACAAAAAAAACAGTGTTAATGAATAAATAAATACCTGAACTTCCTACCTCATGTCGTGAGTTTCAAATGAGATAATCTATATAAAGAAGTCTTAACCTAGAGTTTGAGAGTCTATGGATAGATTTCAGGGGATCTGAGAACTTGGCTGGGAAAAAAAATACATCTTGGTTTTCATTAATTTCTAACTATAAAAATTTAGTCATCGTTCCTTCATGTCCAACTCTTTTGGAGCCCATTTGTGGTTTTCTTGGCAAAGACGCTAGAGTGGTTTGCCTTTTCCTTCTCTGACGCTTTTTACAGATGAGGAAACTGAGGCAAATTCAGTTAAGTGACTTGCCCAGGGTTACAAAGCTAATAAGTGTCTGAAGCCAGATTTGAACTCAGGAAGATGAGTCTTCCTGACCCCAGGCTCAGAACTCGATCTACTGTGCCACCTCCTTCCCTTTAAGTATGGCAACAAACATTATTCAGAGAAGGGGTCCCCAGGCTTCAACAGGCTGCCAAAGGGGTCTATGACATAAGGAAGGTTAAGAACCCCAGGTCTATGTAAATTGCTTTGCAAACTTTAAAGCAGTGTTATTAGTTATTTAAATTATTAGCTCTTCACAGGCAAGTTGGTAGGTGGCTCAGGTGGCTTGGACCTGGAGTTAGGAAGATCTGAGTTCCAATACGACTTCCAACACTTACTTAGTTCTATGACCTGAGGCAAGTCCCTTAACCTCTGTGTGCCTTAATTTTCTTAACTGCAAAATCAGAGTCCTACCTCACCAAGGGCTGTTGTGAAATAATGTCCCACTTAGCGCTGGGACATAATAGGTTCTTAATAAATTCTTTTTCCCTTCCTGTCCCTCCCCCTTGCCACCCTCCATCCAAATCTAATAAAGAAGCAAAACCTTTGTCCTCCATCTTGGAAACCCGTGCCCTTGTTCCTCCAGCTCTTTTATTCGGAGACACTACTAGGCTAAGAGGTGTGGCTGCTGCCAGGGGCAAGACAATGGAACCGCTTCAATGAAACTGCTCCCTCAGTTATTTCTCCTTCCCTTACAACTGAACCACAGAGAAAGCTACTGAGCCAACTGCCCCTTCTCTCCCCAGTTGGAGGAGGTGGGGGGGGAGAGGGAATAGCCCCTGGCAGTGGTATTTCTAATGGAAGATGCCAGACAACACTCCCAGTTCCCCTTCCTTAGGCCCTTTCTGTCAGTTCCTACAGTGACATTAGATACCTCCCTCTAGATAAAGTAAGTTAAGAAGCCGGCCATTTGTTTGACTTGTTATTTGTGCATTGGAAGTTGGGAGATAGGATTATGGAACCGGAGGAGGGGCTGTGCATTTAGCTCTCATTTCTCTCTCATCAAGAAGGGAGAGCTAAGCAATGGGAGGGACTGTCCCTGGGAATTTACAGGCCTGGTGGTTCTGGTGGAGACTGAATTCTAAGGCAGGTGATTGGTGATAAGCAGGAGAAATAAATAAAAAAGAATGAGAGTGGTCTGTAAACTGAAACTTTTTCTAGACACCGTACGTGTGTGTATGTGTGTGTGTCTCCGCTTGCGCGCCAGCACAGGGACGTTTGCATATAGACATGTGCCTATAAGTACTAGTGTGCTATTACCAATCAGCTCCATATAGCCATGACACACTTTTTAAGTGTAATCTGCATGATTAACATTTTCTCCATCACTTTGTTAAGCTAAGGCAAGCAACAAAACAATAAAGTAAGCCCTGATTTTGTAGTTTTTGTCATTTCCAAGGTGTAAATGCTTACACTGAAAATTTAACAAGTGGTACTCCTAAGTAGTTAGAGCTAGCTCCAGCATGCTCCTGTTTATGTGTTAGTGTGTGTATAAAACATATACACATATGTATATATAATATGTATATGTGGGCATGTGTAGATATAATACATAGGTCTGTGACCTTGTATACACATATGTGTGTGTGTGTGTGTGTTTCCAGCACAGACTTCAAAGCCATCACTGGGGAAACAAATTCTTTGAAGCCCCATGTTGTACCAACCCATGTCCATATACACAGGACAAGGTGAACCAGCCTAGACAGAGAGACAGCAGGCCACCATTTTGTTCAAAGAGGTCTCTCTTTAAACTTCCTGTGGTGCCTCTCCAGTCTATACAACACACAATTTAGCTTCTGATCATATGCCATTGTTCTCTAATGGCTACTTATTGTGTGCCCTCCCAGTGTGGCCTCCTGTTTAACTGGGTGGTAAATTCACTCAACATCTCTGGAGTTCAATTTCCTTATTTTATTTTATTGCTAGAATTTATATAGTGCTTTAAGGTTTGCAAAGCACCTTACAAAATATTATCTCATTAGATCCTCACAACTGGGAGCCAGATGCTATTATTATTCGAATTTTACAGATAAGGGAACTGAGACAGACAAAGAGGACATGACTTGCCCAGGGTCACACAGCTAGTAAGTATTGGATGCTGGATTTGAATTCGAGTCTTCCTGATTCCAGTTCCTGTGTTCTCTCCACTTTACCGCCTAGCTGCCTTTAGACTTACCTGATGGGTGTGTTGAAATATCAAATGAGGGGGCAGCTAAGTGGTGCAGTGGATAGAGCTCCGGCCTTGGAGTCAGGAGAACTTGAGTTCAAATCCAGCTTCAGACACTTGACACTAGGTGTGTGACTTTGGGCAAGTCACTTAACCCTGATTGCCTCACAAAAAAAAAATATCAAATGACCAAATAGATATGAAGGTGTTTGAAATGTTAAAAAGTAACTTCTTGTCTTCAAATCTAAACAATTTGTAATTATTGTGGCTGTGAGTATTAGTAAATTGGTAAAAAGTTATAAGCTCATTATAGTAGGATAATGGAAATGTAACTCAGACTTTCTGTGGCTCTCCTGCACTGCTGTGGGCTCCAGAAGTTCTCAATATAAATTTCATGACAGACTAGATAAAGAGAATTGAGAGAGAGTATAGATAGTGCAATACAAGCCCATTACTGTTTGCGGAGAAAAAACTCAAAGCCATGTCCTTTTGACTGTCAGTAACCTTGGTGATTCTGTTTCTCAGAGGTACAATGTTGGGTGGGGCGGGAGGAGGATTGGGAAGGGAATAAGCATTTGTATAGTACTACTACAAGCCAGGCACATGCTAAGTGTTTTACAAATGTTATTTCATTTAATCAAATGAGGTCATTGAAATAAATCATTTAATTAACTATAACTCAAATAAATATTATTTAAACAAATGTAATCTCATTCAATGGGGATAGTAATAGATGTAGTACCTATCTTAAATGGTTTTTGTGAGGTTCAAATGAGTATACACAGCAGGGTGCCCATACCACTTTGGAACCTCTACTTCAGACGTGTTGTGAGGTGTTTCAGGTAATCAAAATGAATCAAATATGGCTCAAGCCAACATCTAATGCACCCTCTACCAACAGACCAAGCAGAAGCCATAAATCAAATAGCAAAGCATTTAATTAAGACAGAATAGCAAAGTAAATAACAAGGGAAAAACAAGTCATTGAATCACTCTCAGACTCCCCATGCACAAAGGGGTATACTTTCTCACAGACTGCCACCCTGATGGGAGAGGACCTATCCCAGATGACTGACACCTCTGATGTTTTTCTAGAACACTTGTCATGATTCTATCTTGCAACAATAGGTTGTGCCTTACTGTTACAATTTTGATTAGTTCTAACAATTAGAGCATTCCAAAAAGTGGCATGGGCTCTCTCTGGAGATACTAGATCCCTCACTAAAGTCTTCAGGCAGTGGGGTAGATAACCACTTGGGGGTTATGTTATAGAGGGGATTTTTGGTTTTTCAGATACGGGTTAGACTAGATGGTCTCTAAGGTGCCTTTTCACTCTGAGAATCTGTGAGTTTATGAAGGCAAAGATTTACATGGCCTGTGGTCAAGGATATATTCCATCTCTCTTTTGTCCTTCATAGAACAGACAGGATTTGAGAGGGAATATGCCCTTAACTAAAGGTCACATAAATCAGGGTTAGATTAGACATGGTCTAAGATCCATTCCAGTCGTAAAACCTAGAATCTTCTGCTTTTGCTAATTTTATCTAAACACTGCTTGAAAGTCACATCACTTTTTCTAGAACCTTCTTGAGCTCTCTACTGATTATACATTAAGTCTGGACTCCTTTGTTTGGCATTCGATATCTTCCATGATCTGCCCCTAATCTACCTTTCTAATTTCCCATTCTTTGCTGATGAGCAAGACTCACTTTCTCTCCCAACAAATCATACCCATTTCCCCTTCCTACTTTTGTACTCCATTCTCCCCAGATATCCTCACTCATCTCCACCCATCTAAATCTAGTTATCCTTCAAGACTTAGTTCAAGTCCACTTCCTTCATGAAGCTTTCGATAACCATGCCAGCCAGTGATACTTCTCCTTCCTTTGAATTTCGATAGCATGCTATGTCATTTGGCCCTTACTGCATCCTGTTTTGTTAGTTACCTTTTTGCCTAAATATGGCTTATCTCTCCAACTAGAGTATAAGCTCTTTGACAGCAGACTCTGTTTTCTCTTGTATCCTCCAAAAGGCTTAGCATAGGACAGGCCAGGTAGCAGCTTAATAAAGATTTCCTTGAATTGACTCTTTAGGTCAGAAAGCCTCAGTCAATTTTCATTTGTGACTCTTTGTGGGGATCCCAGGTGGAGGGAGAAACGGAAGTCATGCAATTCCTTCTGCTATCCACTCAAGAATCATAGAATCTCCAAGTAAGAACGAACCTCAGAAACATCCAGGCCTATTTGTACCTGAACAGTATTCCCTTCTTCAATGGCCCAGATGAATGGTCATCTAGACTACCTAAAGACCTCCATTTCTATTTTTGGACAGCTCTAATTATTAGGAAGTTTTTCTCTCAGTAACTTCTACCTACTGGGTCTCACCCTGACTCCTGAAGCCAAACAAAACAAGTCTTATCCCTAGTTCATGACAGCCCCTCAAATAATAATCTCTGCCATTCATATATACTTTGTAGTGTGGCTATTTGTGCACGCATTTAATTCCTCTCCTTAAATTGTAAGGTCCTGGAGAGCAGGGGTCATACCCTATACATCTTTGTATCTCCCACAGTGCCTAGCGTGGTGTCTCAAACATAGCAAGTACTCAATATTTATTGAATGACATTTGGCCATTTGTCAATCTTTTCTTTATTCTTCAACTACTCACCCATCTGAGACCTCTTCTCACCACCATCTGGCCTCAAATTGGCTTATAGAGAGTCAAGACATTTTCAGATATTTGTGTCTGACTCATTGGCTGGAAACAGATACATCATCTTCTCTTGGCTAAAGACGTATAGACCTTCCCCCTTCCATTTCATGTGCTCCTTACAGAGGAGTAGGCTTAAAGAATTTATTCAATCAACTGAACCCAGTCAATGGGTATAACACTGAGAAAGGCTATTCTCAATCAGTGATTCTCAAACTTTCTGGTCTCAGGAACCCTTTACATTCTTAAAAATTATTGAGGATCCCTCAAGGAGCTTTTGTTTATGTGGCTTATGCCTACTGATATTTTTACCATATTAGAAATTAAAAATCTTAGTATTATTATGAAAAGAGTTTTGACATCATAAACTCCCAAAAAGGTCTTGGGAGGGGTCCCTGGACCACATTTTGAGAACCACTTTTCTAGATAATTCTAGATCTTGCTCTGGCTAGTATTATCCAGGATGAATGACAAGGGGGTGAGGCAGGACTGGTAAAAGGCCTGGGAATTCATTCCCAGTCTAATCAAAGCTTGATAAACCAGATTACTTGGGAAATCAGTGGCTCTCAATAATTAAATTTTCTTGCTAACTGGGGTCTAAGTAGAAACTCCTTTTTTTGTTGCAATCCTTATTAAAAATCTTTCAGTAAAGGGAGGCCAGGGGCCAGGGTACAATCTCTCTATTTCACAAAAAGATTTTAGGAGCAACATTCTGAGTCATCCTTAGAGAATGACACTGACAGAGGAGATAGGACTCAGTATAGACTGTTCCCAAGACATCTGCTGTCATTTGGTATGGTATGGTGGAAAGAACATTGGACTTCAGTTCTTGTCTCAGATCTGCCACTAACTCAATCTGTGACCTTGGTTAAGTCACTTCATTAGGCTTCAATTTACTTTCCTGTAAAATGATAGTTGGATAAGATAATCCCTAAAGTCCCTTTTCCACTTCCAACATTCTGTGACTAATTCTCTGACAACATTCCTGATCTCAGCTTTTCCTTTTTTATTAAAATTGGAACATAGCAAAAGCAAACAACGAAAAAAAAAAGCAACTTCTGATAAAACTGGATTCTAGTTAATTTGGGTTTTGCTATATGCAGCCAAGCTGGAGAAAGCCCCAGCACCGTGAACATGTCAGTGTTCCAGCACCTGTAATCTGGACACCCCCTTTTATTTTGCTGCAAGAATTCCCTTTGTTCAGCAATTAGGGGTCTGGGAGAAGCAGAGAAGGAGACGGGGAAAGGTTCAGAAGCTGCGAGCTCAAAAAGGGGTGGTACAAAGGGCTGCCTTGTCACTGCTCCCCAGGCAATCCCCTTTCAAAGTGGGAGAGAAGTAGGGGTCAGAATGCAAGGGAGGGAAAAGTACTTTTTTTAAATAAATGCATTGAGAGCCCCAGGGCACTTCATCCCACCCTCAGTGGCCTTATTTTTTTATTTTTATTTTTATTTTTTTTGCAGGGCCATGCAAGACACAAACACAGAGAATGTGGCCCCTGGGGAGTTAAGGCCCTGGGGCCACATAAGATGCACACATAAAAAAAGGGAGTCAGGTGGCGCTCTCTAAAAAAATATAACAACAACAACAAAAAAAACCCAAACCCTCACCAGGCACCATGACACGTTAGGATCAATGTCCATAACTGTCCTCAACTGTACAGATAGCACCAATTAAGAGAGCCCAGGGGTTAAGGGGCAAGGGAGGAACCACAGCCGGGGCATCTCGGAACTGCGGCTGACATCTACTTGACTCTGGGGAAGAGTCGGCCCGTTCTTCTGGCATAACTACTCTCTACCCCCTCTTTACTGCCCTGCTCCTTTGAGAAGCTGGAATAAATCCGTTTTGGTCCTTAGGCAGGACCAGATCTGACTCCAGGGAAGTGCTAGCCCCTTTCTCTCGTGCAGTCAAGATGCTGCTGTGTCAGCTCTTGAGGAAGGGGGCGGATCCCAGCTCTTCTTCCCTCCCTTAAGAGCTCAGTGAGATCTGCACAAATTGCAGCAGCACAGTCTTCAGTTACCGGATGGAGCACTATGTGAACCATCTGCCCTCCTGTTCTCTCCACCCACAACAGGTACAAGTACTCCCTGTTGGTCCTAATAAGGGTGGGCAAGAGAGGATCAGGCTGAAGCACTAGCTCAAATGATTGAGGTAGGACAGCATGGTGGAACAGCACAGGCACTAGGCTAGAAGTCATGGGGACCCAAGTTCTGGTCCTACCTTGTGACTTCAGGTAAGTTGCTTAGTCTCCCTGTGGGTCAGTTTCCTTATCTGTCAAAGGGGCATAAGGCTATCTTGATCCATGATCCATCACCTGCATAGGTGAAGATCTGGGGTATCTGATCCAGTGGACAGAGAAGGAAGTGGTGAAAGTGAAAGGAGGAAAAGAGCCTAGAAAGTGCTTTGGGAAAGTCTAAAGCACTATTCAAAGACAAGGTGGTGCCACCGTGTTAGAGTGCATCCCTTAACACATCCTTTTCTGTCTTCTTTTTTTCTGTAGGGACTCTCCTACCTACAGTATAAGTGATTGTCCCTTCAGGCCTAGATGGGCCTTGGGGATCCCTGGCTCTCCACTCCCAGGTGCAACACTGCTCAACAGGTAATCCTGGGCTCACGGCTTCCCTTGCTCTGGATCCATGGTCCTATCCAGTAAAGGAGGGAGCAACAGGAGGGTCTCCTCCCTATCCCTTACTTGGCTAGGTCTGAGAAGCATGGCTGAGGTTGAGGGCTAACCCAGGCCCAGTAGCACCAACCACTCTTAATTTTATAGGTGTTTAGTCTAAGACTTCTGCACCATCACCTTCTCATACTGTTCCCGACTTTTGGGCAGGGTTCTGTTGTCAGCCCCTTTGGTCCATGGTCCACTAGGTGAGTGAACACCTGGGCTCTCCATTCAGGCTGGGCAGGGTGGATCAGACATCCTTGCCCAGCTTTCAAGGGGCCTGATCTGGAGTGCAATGAAGGTCCCTAAACCCCAGGACCACATAAGGGGTATGAGGAGGGGGAGAATTACCAGTGATTTTTAATACTCCTATCTGCCTCCCCATCCCAGGCTTCCCTAAGAGGGTTTCAACCCTCCCTCCTTCCTCCAGCCTCATTCCCTCACTAGATTCCCCCACCCTGTCCCCCCATATCCCACCACCAATACCTGCCCCAACCCCCACCCCTCAGCACTGGCCTAGTCCCGTTCCAGTGCCTGGTGGGGCCGAGAGGTCCCAAGGCTGGTGCTATGCACCCGAAGATGGTCCTTGAGTGACTCCTTATATCTGAAACTCTTGCCACACTCGCTACACTGGTAGGGCCGCTCGCCTGTATGGATGCGCTGGTGTTTAAGCAGATTTTGCTTCCGGATGAAGCTTTTGCCACACAGGGCACAATGGAAAGGCCGCTCACCGGTATGTAAGCGTTGGTGATTCTGAAGGTGCTCCTTACGGCTATATGTCTTCTCACATTCAGAGCATTTGTAGGGACGCTCACCCCTGTGGGTCATCTGGTGGCGGATCAGGCCTGAGTGGCAGTTGAAGCTCTTCGCACATTCAGCACACTCAAAAGGCCGATCTTTGGTGTGGCTTCGGTGGTGAATCATCAGGCTCTTCCGTACATCAAACGTCTTGCCACACTGAAGACAGAAGTGCGATTTGTCCTGTCCAGGTGAGAGGAAGTGGCTCCGCTGGTGCTCGCCTGCTATGCTGCTGCTATCACCACCACCACTTTCGCCTGCTGGGCTCCCTGGAGGACTGTGGAGGCCTTCACAGAGGCTCCGTTCCCGTGGGACCATTGGGAAAAGATCATCTAGCATCCCAACAACTCCCCGGCTGGGCCCCCCACCTGGATTCTCAGTGCCAGGGAGTGGGGTGACATTCTGCTGGTGGGACTGGTGCTGCGGTACAGGTAGGGTAGAACTCTTGACCATTAGCAGCCCATCACCTAGGAAAGAGAAAAATGATTGTATAAATTATAATGATAATAATAATCCTAACCCTTTCAAGGGCTTTCACATAGATTATCTCATTTGATTTTAATAACAACCCCATGAAACAGGTAGTATGCATGTATCATTACCCTAATAATAATAATAATAATAATGATGCTAATCTGATGCCTCCTGGCATCCTGGAAGTGAACCTACATTTTCAAAGTCCAACCATTCTGGAAAATAATTTGGAACTGTGCCCCAAAGTTATTAAACTGTGCATATCCTTTAGCCCAGCAATATCATACTGTATCTATACCCAAAAGAGATCAAAGAAAGAGGAAAGGGACCATATATACCAAAATATTTATAGCAGCTCATTTTCTGGTGGCAAAGAATTGGAAACTGAGGGGGTACCCATCAATTGGGGAATGGCTGAACAAGGTATGGTATATGAATGTAATGGTATACTACTGTGTTGTAAGAAATGATGGAAAAAAAAAGAAATGATGAAGAAGATGGTTTCAGAAAAACCTTGGAACACCTGTATGAACTGATACAAAGTGAAACAAACAGAACCTGGAGAGCAATTTATACAATAGCAACAGTATTGCAAAGATAATCAGCTTTGAAAAACTCGGTAACTTTGATCAACACAATGACCAACCACAATTCTAAAGCATTCATGATAAAATATGCTATCCCCTTCCAGATAGAGAACTGATGGATTTTGTACAGACTGAAGCATATTTTATTTTCTCTTCATTTCATTTCTTTCTTTTTTGGGGGGGAGGGGGACATTGCTAAAATGGGAATTTGTTTTGTATGACTATATATATCTGTAACGGGTTTTTTTTCTCTTGCCTTCTCAATGGTTGGGGGACGGGGAAGAGAGCAGGAAATAATTCAGAACGGAAAATAAAACTGAAAAAAAAAAGTCTGTGCCAGCACAGTGTAAGCATTGGTGGGAACCCCTGATCTGCACACGACTCCAATATAGGCCTGATGATGGGCTGTGGCACTGTCACTGAAGGCCCAGCCTTAAAGACAGAGAGCTGCATCACTAGGTTAGCTGAAGGATGATGAGTTTTTCAACCATAGCATCTCGCCAAAGAACCACTCACAGAATTTTTGGGTGATTGACATTTTTCTGCTGGCCAGAACACAACCCCAAAATAATGGGGCTTTCCTGCTGATAGGTATGCTTAATAAAGACAGGAGGTGGGACTAGCTGGGTGAAGAACCTTGCCTCCACGGCTTACTTTTTGTTTTGAGTTAAATTCCTTTGCTTAGAACACCAGAGAGAATCTAGGGGATATCTAACTCTAAATTAGACAGTTTTTTGTATCACAGGGTTCTTATCTCACCTAGATGTAAGGGTGCAAAGGAAGAGACTGACTTAGCGTGGGGCACTTCTCCTGCTTTCATTAGCTAGGTGTGATAGCTATGGATAGAGAGCTGTTAGTCATCTCTCATCAAGAAGGCTTAGTTAGCCACTACGTCCTAGCACAGCGCTTCTGAAACAAAAGTTTCTGGACGTGCATTGGCCAAAAATTAATTCAAAATCAAATGCATAATGAATTCAAGGTGTCTCTGGCAGGGCCTTCCCATGTCCATTCCCACAATGTCACTGCAGCCTTGGTTCTGAACACAAAGCATGCGCACTTTGCACTTCCCATGCCCTCAGGCCACACAACTCTGCTGAACCTTGAAAAGGGGTCATGACTAGAAAAAGTTTAAGAAGCCCTGGCCTAACAGACTGAAGCTGAGATAGCTTGGCAGGCTCTAAAGAGAGAAGTCTAGAAGATGGTAGCAGAGAATAATGCCTACTTACTAGGACAACACTCAGCTGATTAAATTGAAAGCTCCTGGAGAGCAGGGACTGTTTTTGCTTCTTTTTGTATCCCTAGTACTTAGCACAGTGCCTGGCACATTTGTTGTTGTTTGGTCATTTCAGTCTTGTCCAACTCTTTGTGGCCCAATTTGGGGTATTCTGGGCAAAGATACTAAAGTGGTTTGCCATTTCCTTCTCCAGTTCATTTTAGAGATGAGGAAACTGAGGCAAACAGGGTTAAGTGACTTGCCCGGGATCACACAGCTAGTAAGTGTCTGAGGCCGGATTTGAACTCAGATTTTCCTGACTTCAGGTCTGACACTCTATCCACTGTACCACCTAGCTGCCCTGCCTGGAACATTGTAGGCACTTAATAAATGTCTACTGACTGATTTATACTACAGGGCAGAAGTCACAAAGGGACCAAAAAACAAAAGGGAACAAAAAATGCTTCAGGACGCCCAGCAGAGCAAGACAGGCCCTGCGTGGAGCAGATTCAGTGAGAGTAGCTCAGTGACATCATCATCTTGTAAGCTCTGCATTTGAGGGTTTGTGGCACCACAGAGTTAACCTGAACCTGAGGTAGCTATTCTGGAGGTCTCACATGTGTACCCAGGTGCTACGAAGTGTATGTGGGGAAGACGCATTTATTAAATGCCTACTATGTGTCAGGCACTGCGCTAAGCACTTTATGTTATCTCACTTGCTCCTGCCCTGGGAGGTAGGTGGTGTTATGATCCTTATTTTACAGCTGAGGAAACTGAGGCAAGCAGAACTTAAGTGACTTTCCCAGGGACACATGGCTAATAAATGCTACAAGGGCCTAAGGGGGGGTTGCAATCTAGTGGAGGGAGTACTCACACCAATGAAATCATAGATCCTTAAAGTAGGGTGGTAATAATAACAGTTCACATTTATATAACACATGAAAACTGATAACATGATGCCTTCATAGCAGTGGTGCAAGGTAGGTAGTAAAAGTATTCTGCTCACTTTCCAAATGAAGGAACTGAGGTTCAATGACTTGCCCAAGGTTGCAGAATCTGGTAAATGGCAGATCTGAGACTCAAACTGAGGCCTTCTAACTTTAGACCATCCAACTATAGCTGTCCCACACCAAGGAACTACTCGGATTCTTCATTAGATCTGGGCATCTCCTTTTTCAGAAGTGGGAACAGTGGATGGAGCACTGAACTTGTCATAACTCAGGAATAAGTTCAAATCCAGGCTCAGACATTTACTACCTCTATGACTCTAAGCAAGTCACTTCACCCTGTTTGCCTCAGTTCCTCATCTGCAAAATGAGCTGGAGGAGGAAATGGCAAACCACTCCAGTATCTTTTCCAAGAAAACCCCAAATGGGGTCACAAAGAGTGAGACAAGACTGAAATAACTCAACCACACACAAAAAAAATGACAAACTCTATAATGGGCATAACACTAACTGCCTCTGAAATGGCCTGTGATGAAAACTAGAGATGGTTTGTGGACCAGTATTCTTTGGCATGAAGGACGGCTACTACTCCCATGACTCCTCACTCTCAGCAAGGGCTGAAGTGGCCTTTTTTTGCTGTAGCTCCAGCAACTAGCAAGTGGGACTTACTTATCTCAGCTCAGTATTCTAGAAGGATGCCAATCCCTTAGCGTCAGAATGTTACCCTCCAAGTATATACTGACTGGCCACTCTGACTTACACTAAGATCTCTTCCTCCACAGCTGCTCCTGACATTCAGGAAGACCTTTACCATGTCAGCTCAAGCCTTTGTTCCCAGGTCCCCATAGGGTTATTACTCACCGGCACTGGCATCAATCGTCATGTCCCTTTCCACTGAATCTGGTGGGCCCCAGGGATATGGTTCCTCTTCCTGTTTGATCCATGACAGAATGTCATGTGCTGAGATCAGAGATTCTGGGCACATCACACACACAGACACACACACAGACACACACACACACACACACACACACACACACACACACACAAAAAAAGGCAGCATTAGGTTTGGCTGACTCCTCAGCAAAGTATTCAAAACTCTTGTCAGCCAATGCCATTTCCACATTAAGAGTTGGTTACAGTTATCATTCTTTAAATATATTTACCAAATTTCATCTCCTAAATATCCTAGCAATATCCCTGTAAAGTTGGTGGAATAAGGACTGTCATCCACATTTGACTCAGGAGAAAATGAGAGATCAGAGAAGTGAAAAAGACTTGACTTGCTCAAAGTCAGTAGAGCTTCAGTGGCTTCTAACCCTCAGTCCCACATTCTTTCTATTACACCATAGAGGGGAAAAAATGAGTTGTTAAGAAACTTCAATGCTTTGAGGAATAGAGAGGAGAAAAAAAGAAAAAACAACTGATGATTTCTAGGGCTTGATTAGATGATTAACAAATAAGAAGCAGCAATAAGGGACCGAACCAGTATATTGGGTACTGTGTTCCCTGTGGTTCCCTGAGGGCAGTAGCAGAAAGAATCCTCCTCAACAGAACAATGAGGTCAAAAGATTATGAAAGAGCCTATACGCTGGGAAAAGCACTCACTTTGGAGTCAGAAGACTTGAGTTCAAATACTACTTGAAACACTTGTTAGTTGTGAGATCCTGCTGACAAGTTACTTGACCTCTCTGTCCCTCAGTTTCCTCATCTGCGGGATGAGGAGAGTTGGGCTAGCTGGCCTCTGAGGGCCCTTTAAGCTCTAGGTATACAGTCTTGTGATCCCTCTCTTGGGAACGGGATGTTTCCACTGGTCTCCAGGCTTTTAATGTTATAATTTCAAGAAGAAACAAATGAGAAACAAATAAAAACAACAAACTACAGAACTGAAGGGAAAAGTCACTAGTGCACAGCTGCAATTAAAGGTCTTGAAGCTTTAGGAACTCATGATGAAGGCTGGGTTACAATGTTGGTTTTTTTCTTCTGTCCTGGATTAGGGAGCAGTTTCCTTGGCTGCTAATCAAAACCACTAAATCTAGTAGCTACGAGACCTAGAGTCTTCTCTGGCTTCTTCCTTCTGCAAAATAGACGGATGTACCTATCAAGGAATATACTTCTAAGGTACCATCTGTCTTCTAGACCAGTGAACTGTCAGCCAGGAGAGTTTTTACATATCTTTTATTCTTCCGAAACATATCTTCTCCAAAAATTTCCCAAGGGCAATTCTTATTAGAATCAGGTTCAGTTACCAAGAGGGTAATTACTCTCTGACATAGACATGTACAGAACTATTAGAATCTCTTTATTTTGTCCTGGCTGCTTCAAAAATGAGAGACTACGCTATATTAAGCTCTACAGTTAAATGAACACAGCAATGCATTGTTCTGAGGATTAGCATGGTATGATGGAAAAATTAGTAGACTAGAAGTTGGAACCTCTAAGTTCAAGTTTAAGTAGCCCAGCCACTTACTTGTCATGTGACCTTTTGCAAGTCACTTAACCTTCTGAGCCTCAGTTTCCTTACCTGGAAAATGAGGAGTAAATGATCTTTTAAGGCCCCTTCTATTTCTGAAATTCCATGATTCTCTGATCTTTATGAAATCTCATGAATGTTGTAAATATTTTATGCTTAGAAATTCACTCTACCTCTATAACTTGTTCAAAAAATCAAATTGCAGCTGCTCTTTGCTTTAGTAATTTTGAAACAGCCTGTTGGCCAAATCCAGTAAAATCTCACCACCACACTTTTATGAAAACGGATTTTACATACTAGCTTGTACTTGTAATTTTGAAATCAATGAACTTTTCCTCACCTGAATTGGGGTCAGTGGGAATGTCCCTTTCCTCCAAATCCTGCTGATCCCACACACAATGTTGCTCCTCTTGCTTAATCCGGGATAAGATGTCCTGGGTAGAAATTGGGGAGTCTGTTGCGGGGGCAAAAAAAGGCATTAATTTGTTTCTTCATCTCCCACTCCTTATTAAGAGTTGGTTATGGGTGGCAGCTAGGTGGCGCAGTGGATAGAGCACCAGCGCTGAAGTCAGAAGAACCTGAGTTCAAATCCAGTCTCAGACCAAATACTTGACATTTACTGTGTGACCCTAGGCAAGTCACTTAACCCCAATTGCCTTAAAAAAAAAAGAGTTGGTTATAGCTATCTCAAACCATCCCCATTTTCCCTTTTGAGGAATTAGAAACAAACTTAAGTAGGACACAATTTAACCTTGAGAAGCCTTTCTTTCTAGCCTTATCTCTCAACTTGTGCTCCACTCTAGCTGATTGTAACACTTGTCATCCCTTTTACACATTTATCATTTTCCCACTCCACATCTTGGCTCAGGCCATTCCCTACACTTGGAATGCCCTCTTTCTATCTCCCCTTTTTGAAATCCCACCTATTTTTTTAAATTTTTTTTTTGTTTAGGCAATGGGGTTAAGTGACTTGCCTAAGGTCACACAGCTAGTAAGTGTCAAGTGTCTGAAGCTAGATTTGAACTCAGGTCCTCCTGACTCCTGGACCAGTGCTCTATCCACCACGCCACCTAGCTGCCCCAATCCTACCTATTCTTTAAGCCCCAGTTCAAATACCACTTCTTTATGAAGCTTCCCCTGGTCAGTAAGATATGGCCTTTCCTTTTCTGACTCACTGTTTTGCCTTTTTCATTCAATTCTGCAATATATTGCTGAATTGCTGACCTTCAAGATTGTGACCTTCAAGTAAAGGAGCAACAATATCTTAATTATCTTTGCATCTTCCTCAGTGCCTAACAGTGCTTTGCATAAAGTAGGCATTTTATAAAAGACTGATGAATGAATGGCCATTTTCCAGCCAAACAACAGAAGTTACTCCAATGACCCACAGTTTCACTTTACTCTTATTTTAGCTACTTTTGTTGAAAATCTTTCAAAAATGTATTCTTAAACAATACGTATGCTGGACATAAATGATTATTAGTATGAACTTCTAAGGTCCCTTTTTCAAGACCTAAATCCTCTTGCCCAAGTATTGATTATATTGTGCTTTATACAGAGATGCCCTTGGACGCTACCGAGGTATGCAAGGCTATTTGCCCCTACCCCAAATAGCTTTGGACTGCTGTGCTTTTTTGTGTGGTTCTTCAGCCAGGTTTTATAGTCCGTTTCTTACTTCTCCACTGTCACTCCTCATTGTCATCAGTGTGTCCTGCTGCATCTTTTTTTTTTCCTATTTATTGGTACTGATATATGTTTTGACACATTTTCCCCTAAAAAAACAGGTAAGCAAAACCACTTAATATAGTGATTTTGACTGATTTGACTGATGATACATGCTGCTTTCTATTTTTGAAGTTTATTATTTTCTACTTTTCTAATTTATCATTTATTAAAAGAAAGGAATGATGTATGCTTTAATCATTAGAACACAACTGGCCATTTCGTTTGACCTGAATTTTGCTGCTTTTTATCGTGGTCTTCATTTAACACTGTTTTTCTTGGCCTTTCTTTCTTCACCATGTACCAGTTCATGCAGATCTTCTCAAGTTTCTCTGAATTACTCATATTTGTCATTTCTTTTTTTTTTAAGTGGACTCATATTGATGTATTGAACTCATATCCTTAAACTACTTTATACATTTTTTAAATAAATTTTATAAGTGATAGCCAAAAATTTTCAAATGAAAACTCACTATTATAGTAAATTTATTGTTATTATCTTCTCTTTTTAAACAACATATATCCCATTAAATGTTTAACAATATTTAATATTTGTCATTTCTGACAGCATAGCATTCTATGCTAAGATTTGTTTAGCTGTTCCCCAGTTGCTGGGCACACAGTTTGTTTCCAGCTCTTTACTATTGTAAATAGTCTTGCTCTGAATATTCAGGTAGAAATGGGTCCTTCTTTCTGTTATTGACCTCCTTTGGGTATAAACTCAGTAGTGTTATTTCTAGGTCAAAAGAGATGAAAAATTTAGTAATTTTTTTCACATAATTCCAAATTGTTTTTGAGAAAGGTTAGCTCAATTCATAGTCCCACTAACTGTTAATCACAAAATCACAGAACTGGACAGCTAGAAGGGAGAACTCAGAGGCCATCTAGACTAACTCATGTATGAAAGGAATTCCCACCAATTTGTATAAGACAGCCTCTGCTTGAAGACTTCCAAGGATCTAAGCCCCCCACTTCTCAAGGCGTCCCATTCGACTTTGAGACAGCTCTAGCCGTCAGGAAGTTGTTGGGACATTTTTTTTTTTAACATCAAGGCCAAAACTGACCTCTTCACGCTTTCTGCCTACTACTCCTGGTTCTGCTCTCTGGGGCCAAACAGAACAAGTTGAATGTTCCCCGCCATGACAGCCCTTGAAAACTTGAACACAGCTATTATATCTTCCCTTGAGTCCTCTTTTCTCCAGCCTAACATGCCCAGTTGCCTTCCTCCCAACATTCTCCAACAGATCAATGACCTTCTTAAACCATGGCACCCAAAAAGTCTGAGGAGGTCAGAGGATTATCATCTTCCTAGTCCTAGAAGTTATGCCTCTTAATGCAGCTCAGACTTTCTGACATTGCCTTCTTCTATCTTTATCAGTTTGATGATAGTTACAGAGCATTTAATTCTAATAAATAGCTAACATTTATATAGCACTTACTCTATGCCAAGTGCTGTGCTAAGCACTTTGCAAATATTTTCATTTGATCTTAACAAAAACCCTGGAAGGCAGGTGCTATTATTATCATCTCCATTTTATATATGAGGAAACCAAGTCAAACAGAAGCTAAGTGACTTGCCTAGGTTCACATAGCTAGTAAATGTCTAAGGCAAGATTTGAACACAGGTCTTCCTGACTGTAGGCCCAGTACTCCATTCACTCTGCCACCTGGCTGCCCATTTATTAATGTGCCCAGCACATGCTAAGCAGTGGTGGGCATAAAGTCATAACTCAGCCTTCTCAATTATTATTAATTCTTTTTATTAGATAGTTGCTGGTAGTTTGCATTTCTTTTTTGGAAAATTGTTTGCATCCTTTAACCAAACATTTTCCCAATCCATTTCTTTTCTTCCAATTCCAGTTCCACTGAATTTGTTGTTGTTGTTTTCTTGACAAAAGTCTTTTAAATTGAATATATTTGAAATAACTTATTCTGTTGTTTATAATCTTCTTTATCTGGTATCTTCTTAGGAATTCTTCCCCTAGCCAGTTGTGAACAATGTAACTTCCACTGAAGATGACTGAAAGGGCTATGGTGCATGGCTAGGACAGAATGCTATTTCACAATGAGAAATGACAAATATGAAGAATTTCTTTTTAAATGGCAAAAATTATACGGACTGAGGTAGAACAAAATAAGCAGAAGAAAAAAACCAATATGTACCCTGACTAAAACATAAATTAAAAGGTCACTGAAAGGAATCTGAACTCCAAATAAAAACTAACGAAAGTCCCAGAGAATAGATAATAAACATACCTACCACCTCGTGGCAGAACGGCAAGGTACACCAACGATGGAATGCTGTCTGTATATGCTTGTATACACTGTTAGATGTAGTTGTTGTAGTGGATGTTTGTGCCTGTTTTTCTTTGTCAGGAGGGTTTATATGGAGGGAGGGGGGAAGGGAAGTGTTGAAATTATTGTGATGTAAAGGCAAAAGGTATTGATGATGTGTGTGTGTGTGTGTGTGTGTGTGTATATTAATGTAATCTTCCTTTGTCCTCCTTTCTCTTGTCCCTTTGCTTCTATTCTGTGCTGCCTTAATGTGTTAATTTGTTTAGGATGATTTCTTCAGATATATTGATACTGAGAGGCAAGGCACATGGCTATCGACATTCACAGCATAGAAAACTTCTCACTGCTGCTGGAGCAGTTGGGCATGGTGTGATAACAATAAGAGCTGACGTTTATATAACACTTTAAGGTTTGTGAAGCACTGTTACTCCACTTGATCCTCACGACAACCCAGGGAGGTAGGTGCTATTATTATTTTTATTTTACAGATGAGGAAACTGAGGCTGTTAGCGGTTAAGTGACTAGCCTAGGGTCACCCAGCTATTGAATATCTGAGGCAGGCCTTGAATTCATATCTCCCAGACTCCTAAGTCCAATGCTCAGGCCATTTGGTCCTTTAGCTGCCTAATTAATCACAGTTCTACCATGGCATTTAGGTCCTCAAACCCACTGGCAGAGTTCTAGCATATAAGAAGGTGGGTGATTGAGACTAGTCTTGACAAGGAGAGAATGAAGTGTCGATACTGGAGAGAGAGTTGGGCATGAACCATCATGATCAAAGGAACGATGCCTTAGGAGATGTGAAAAGAAGGCCTGCATGTGCCCTACATCTGGGAGGTATGGCAACCCCAAAGTCATCCTCCTAATGTGTGTTCACAGGTGTTTATTTTGACTGCCCTGGTAGCTACACAGATTCGTCCCTTTGGGAGCACATAATGATGGCAGCTTTGAGATCAGAGCTAGCGTAGCACTATTTGTCTGAACTGAGTCAGCTGAGTCTGCTTCCAGAGGCCTTGAAGAAGAAAGGTTCCTTGGGTGAGGAGGTAAGAGGAGTTGGGCATTCTTACACAAACACCTTGGTGAAGGCCTGGGGGTAGTTCCCCACCTCTCCTACAAGGTGAAATGAAAGGGCTTTGCAACAACTGTTATCCTCTGCTCTGAGGCCATTATCACTTACCGGATATATAACCCATGGTTGAACTAGCTAAAATCTGACCTTTAAAGTGACTTTGCATGTTATCAATATGAATTCCAGAAGCTTAGGATAGAAAGGCACCTTGTAGGAGGTGACTGAGCTTCACCCGTGCCTACCTGACAATGCCCATTTGGGCCACAGTTGCCTCCCTGCCTCCTTTCCTTTTCCTTGAAATCAGCAGATGTTTTCTGCTCACTTACCGGTAACAGTGTCTGCAACAACTTCTCTTTCTTCTGAGCACCTCTGAACCCTGGCACACAATGGTTCTTCCCTCTTCACCTGAGAGGAAGCAGCTGGTGCTTGGATCAGAGCTTCTATAGCTAGGAACAGAGAACTGCATTATTATAGCATTACTTTCTCCCTTGTCATTTTTCTAAGTTATCGTTTCCATGATGGAGTCCAGAGTAGCAGCCAGCTGGCAGAATCACAGAGGTAGCACATGCCTAAACCAGGCTAACAGTAAAATGGGGAGCAGAGTCATGGGGGATCCTATACAACAAAGAGAAATGGAAAGGGGGAGTGGTCATCCTAACAATGCATGATATTTATAGATCATTTTAATGTTTGCAAGGCACTTGACACACAAGTATTTCCTTGGATGCTCCTAACAATACACTGGGAGGTAGATGACACAGGTATTATTAGTCCCATTTGACAGAGGAGGAAACTGAAACCCAGAAACTTACCCGTGATCATAGGGCTACTTAGAGCCAGAGGTGGGATTCAAAGGCAGGTCTCCCAGGTCAATGGTCATTTCAAGACACCATCCTGCCTCTCAAAGTGGGGGAAGATCAGAGGAAGGGCACACCAAAAACAGGAATAAGCATGAATGGGATTACTGGTTAGTACCTTATTAGAGCAGGGTTTCCTCACCCTTCTTTGTGTCAGGAACCCCTTTGGCAGTCTGGTGAAGGTTATAGACCTTTTCCATGAATAATTTTTTAAGAATAAAATAAAACATATAGGAGGGCAAAGGAAACCGATTATATTTGAATACAACTATCAAAATGCTTTTTAAAAATAAAAACCAATTTCTGGGGTCCTGGTTTGAGAATCATGATTTAGAGCATGGTGCCAATAAGACTGTGAGTTTCATCCCCATGAAGGCAGTTGGCTTTGCTCTTTTCCCCAACCAAAGACTGTCCCCCTGGCACTGGCTAGATTTCCTGTAAATGCATGCTGTCAATCACAAAGAAGACAGGTGAAGAGTGTGGGGCTACTTCAGTACAAACCCATTCCTTCTATAAGGAAAAGCACATGTCCTATTTATGGTAGTTCAGTAGCAACAACTTTATATAGGTAGCTGGAGGCAGGTAGGCAGTACAGTGGAGAGAGCACTGAGCCTGGAGTCAGGAAGACCAGAATTCAGATCTGGCTTCAGACATTTACTAGCTGTGTGATCCTGGGCCAGTCACTTAACCTCTGTCTGCCTCAACTGCCTCTTTCCTGGGAGTAATAATAGCACTTACCTCCCAGGGTTATGAGGATCAAATGAGATAATAATAATTATAAAGCACCTAGGACAACACTCAATATGTAGTAGGCACTTAATAAATGCTTGTTTCCTTCTTTCCTTTATGAAGACAAGTCAATCCTAAAGCACCCAATGCATCTCATGGAAGCTTAAAACTAGGTCACACTGTGCTGAAGAGTTACCAAAGAGTAGAAGAAGGGGAAGGGCCGGGGTCACAAAGGCATAGTGTTTGAAGAACCCCCTATCTATTCCCTTGGGTACTGGTAGGAGCAAGGTATAGGGAATGGAGGTGGCTTCTGTCTCAGGGTTGCCCTGTTTGGTCTCATTTCTCTTTCCAGCCTTTCTTTCTTCTGTGCCCTGTTTCCTACAGTCTCTAGCTCTTCAGTATGTTTTGTTCTGTTTTGGTAAAAGGGTCTTGGAAAGTAGATGTATTCCTAAAGCTGTAGCTGTCTTGTATGGGCTAAAACTCTTAATTATAAGTGGTCAGGACTAAGACAACTTACTCACACCAAGAATAACTAAGCTTTCTGACTGCTGGACGCCTGCCTATAGAGGTGCCTACCTGTGCTAGGATCCATTGGGATTTCTCTCTCCTCTGGGTTATGTTGTTCCCACACACATGGCTCCTCCCTTGGCTCCACCCGAGACTGAGCATCTGGCTTGGGCATTGGATTCTCAGCACCTGTGAACAAATTTTACGGGAATGAATGCACATTTACCAAGCGAACTACATCCAGGGTAACAACACAGACACATGGAACCCTCTGCACGTTCCATTCATGAAAACTCCATTACTAGCCCAGGCAAATGTGTGAATCAGAGAAATCATAAAAATTGGCATAGAAATGGTCAAATCTCCATCAGGGAGGGCAGTCAATCTCAAAGAAAACCAACTGATGAAACTAACTTTGGCTTATTCTGAGCCTATCAGACTGGAGAAAAGAGGCAGAGGGGAGCAGAAAGGTCTAAGTAATGAGTACCTTAATACTATATACTTTAAGGAACATGACTGCCTCCACCTAGGGGAAACAGCTGGCATGATCCTCACTGGGAAACACCTCAGAGATATAACCCTTGGAACCTTTACTCCTCTTTGAAACAGACAGTAGCGTGTACAGATATTCATTTGTAAAACCTAATTACTTTGGACTGACTTGCTAGGGACAGGAAGGCCAATTTTGAATTAATGATAAATCTAAATAACAGAATACTATTCAAAGTCAGGGCTTTTACTTATTCAAACTAGATCAACCAAAATATTAATAAGCAGATATCCTTAGAAACACTGTTTTAATAAAGACATAAGACCTGGAAACACTTGTATGAACTGATGTAGAACCAAGTGAACAATTTATACAATAACATCATAAAGACAATTAACTTTGAAACACTTAAGAATCTTAATCAATGTAATGATCAGCCATGATTCCAGAGGTCTCATGATGAAGTGTGCTCCCCATTTCCTAAGACGTGATAGACTTAAGATGCTGATGAAAACATAAATTTTTTGGACATGGCCAATGTAGGAATTTGTTTTGTTTGATGATGCATATTTGTTATAAGGATTTTGTTTTTCTTTTCCTTTTTTAAAATTTTGATAGAGAGGGAAAAGTTAGGAGGGAGAGAAAACAGATTTTTGTTGAAGACAAATGAAAATTTAATTTTTTTTAATTTGAAAAAGAATAGATAAAAGAGACATGTAGATAGCATTTGTATGTAGTTAATCATTGCATGAAAAATCATGCTTCTAAAGCATTTGGAAATAGTTTGTTCTCTTAAGTAGTTTCAACATTCCCCCAGAAATCCTTTTTTCCAGTATTAATTTGCCTAGTAAAGCCTTCATTCAGAGATATGGCAAAGATAAATGTCAGCCCCATCTCTCTGCAAAGGATCATAAATTCTAAATGAGTGGGATTCAAATTAACAGGATTTTGCTGTCCTTTAGAACTGATAACGGTGTGGGACTGATATAGCAGGAGACACTACTTTTATTAACTGTATTGTAATTATCATGTCAGTTGTAAACAAGTTGTCCCTCCAAGATATGCTAGTTGCTTTGCTTATAGTATGAATAGGGATTTGGGTAACATCTTCCATTTGTATAGGGCTTTATACTTTTCAAACTGCTCCCATAGGGGAGGACTCTACCCATGATTTCATTGGTTTAGGGAACTCCCAGTGAGGAAACCCCTTTTACCAATGCATATCTGCAAGTATTCTGCAACTACAATCTTAGAGAGCTGAAAACTGAGAGTTTAGGTATATTGCCCAAGATCACAGAGCCGGGATTCCAGAAAGCCCACGAGGAACCCAGGCCTTCTTGTCTCCCAGGCTGGCTCTCTCTCCGCTACATGACACTGCCTCTGTCCATAAACATAATTTTTATTTTATCCTTAAACTTCCTCTATGAGGTAGGAAGGAATTCTCTCCATTACACAGAAGAGAATACTGAGGCCAGGGGAGATAGCCTAGACCAAGGCTACTCAGGGAGTCAGTGACACAATCAGGACTAGAAGACAACTATCCTGATTCCTTACCCATTGCTCCTTCACATTGTCTCTACAGCCTCAGTCAAGCACAGATAGACAGAAAGAGGAGACAAAGGCAGCTTTTACCTAGTGACATTAGGGTTTTGTAGTTCTCCTTCACGAGGTTATTGTAAAGCTCTTTCTGCCACTCATCCAAATTCTTCCACTCATCCTCAGAGAAGTAAACGGCTATATCCACGAAAGTCACAGGCACCTGAAATGGCAAGTATCCTAACTCAATATCTCTGGGAATCACTCCCCTCCAGATCTTCCTTTACCGACTTCCTGATGGAACCAAGTCCAGAGTCTGTAGTGAAGCCTTATATAAAATGGCTCCAGGCTCCCACCTTTCCATCCTTATTTCCCAAGGTGCACCTTCCTCTCCAGGCGGCATCCCTCTCTCTCACCCATCTGCCTTCTGTAACTTTGTTCACACTGTTCACCTTGCTTGGAAAAGTTCCACCTTTTTTTTTTTCCTATTTGTGGAAGTTCTATTCATCCTTCATGGCCCACCTCAAGTCCCACCTTCTCCATGAACCTTCCCTGACCACTGCAATCCACATTGAACTCTCATATGCAATTGCAATTATTTCCTGTATTATTCATTTTAATTGGTCTTCAAACATTCATTAAAGGCTTACTCTGTATAAGGCACTGTGGAAAGTGCTGGGGTTATAAAGAAAGGCAAATGATAAGTATTCCTGCGTTCAAGGAGCTCACATTCTAATGATGGAGATACCACATAAATATCTAGATCTATACAAGATATATGGAGGAGAAGAGGAAGGTAATCTGATGTCAGATGGCACTAGCAGTGTCTGGAGGACCACGAAGCAAGGATACGAGTACTAAGAATGGGATATGAGTTGAGCCTTGAACGAAGCCAAGGAAACTAGGAGACAGAACAATCCAAGTAATGGGTCAGAGTCCAGGCACAGAGACAGGTAGACTGGTATAGCTAGATCATAGTTTGTGGAGGGGAGTAAGGTGTGAGAAATGTAGGAAGGGGCCAGGTTACAAAGAATGCCCAACAGAGGCCTTTATATTTGATCCTGGAGGTAATAGGGAGCTACTGAGGCTCAGTGGGGTAGGGGTGGGGTGGAGGAGGTGACATGGTTTTACCTATACTTTAGGAAAACTACCTTGGCAGCTGAGTGGAGGATGAACTGGAAAGGAGTGAGACTTGAGGCAGGGCCAATAGTTAGAAGGCTCCTGTAGTAGTCCAAATGAGACAGGATGATAATCAGAACAAGGGTCGTGACTGGATGAGTGGCAAGAAGGAAACTAGAATGTATGAGAGTTGTTGTGTAGATAGAAATAAGATTTGGCAACTTCTTGGATACATGGGACCAGTGAGAGTCTGAGGAATCAAGGATAACACCAAGACCGAAAGCGTGGGTGACAGGGAGGATGGTGGTGCCCTCAGCAATAATAAGGAAAGGCAGGAGAGCTTAGGGGGAAACAGAACTTTAGCACAGGAGCGCACACTGCCTGGCCTTACTTAAGCTTTCTGTATAGAGTAGGCCTTTGAATTAAACGCTACAGGAGGCACATTCTTTTTGGAGTCTAATGTGATTAAGGTATGGTATCACTTCTTGGAAGTGCTTTCAATCACCCAAGCACAATGAAGTCCTGATATGAGGCAGTAATCAGGTCAAACTGCAGGTCAATCACCTCTAAACAGGTAGTTATAGGTTTCTCACAGGAACATGGAAAACTGTATATTTATATATAAAAGATATGTATCATCATTATACATATATATACATATATATATATGTGTATATATATATATATAAAAGATATCGCATCCATCTCATATACATTTCTCAATTTTCTATTCTTTGTACGGGAGAATGTTCATGTTTGTTCAGTTCATGATAGTAAAAAAGGAAAACTTAAAAAAATAAAACAAAAGCAGAACCCCTTCCCCCCAAAAAATGTATGTGATCTAACTCTGGAAGCATTCCATACCAAGGCTTCAGTTGTGTTATAAAAGTTAAGAAGTAATACCATAACAGTGTCCTGAAAATGGAGAGTGTACTTAATTCCTCAAAGAAGGCAGAATCTGTAGCTAGATCATTAAAGAGGGGTTTATGGTGGCCAAACAGATGTGAGAGTGAGAATGTCTTTTGCTAACCAAATGAAGATGGGCATCTCTCTGGTTTTGGTTTATCAATGACCAGACTGAAAGAAGGGGCCAGTCATTCCATGAAGTCACTTGCTCCACAGTGTCATGTTTAGTAATTGTTTAGTATTTCTAAATGCTATTCCTAAATTGTTTAGTGACCTTAACTGGCACGATGCACTTTTGAAAAAATCATTGCTGCTATGAAATAAAACTTTTATTTCACAAGGACCTATAAGGATGAGTGGTGGGAACTGCTTGAGGAAAGGGAGGTCTTTCCTGAGCTAGCAGGGGGAATTTTGCTGGCCAGAGCCTCTCTCCAAGTAGTTGTTTGTACATTTATTAAGTGATATGTCTGATCCAGGGATGTGCTAGAGCCACCTCCAGCTGGCTGGAGGAAGCAGATTACTAAATTGCCAGTCTCAGAAACCAACAACCACTACAAAATCAGGGTTTGGTTTATTGTTTTGTTGCATATCTAGACTTAGGAAAGTGATGGAGAAAATGTTAACAACGCAGATTAAACTTAAAAGGGTGTCATGTGAACATCTCCCCCCACCCCCTTCCTGAGAGCTGGTTATTAAACATTCACCAGCATACTCCTGTGTGTCTGGCAGATTTGGCTTAAAAATAACAGTAGATTGTTTCTCTTCCACATAACTTTAACTGAGCCTTCATTTCCACTTAGAGATCAAGGCCATACAATATGAATTCTTAAAATTTTTATTGCGCTTCTTTTCTCCCATTTTAGAAGAATAAATACTTCCCCCACCCCTTGCCAAGGCTAATTCCTTTCCCTGTGCCCTTAGGTTCCACCTCCTTCAGGACCTTAGTTCATCAACTACATTCTTTTTCCCTACCCCTTTCAGTCCCTCCCTTTTAACTTGCTCCTTCTCTGCCTATAAACATGCTTAGGTTGCCATATTTAAAAAAACAAAAAAACCCCTACCATCTCTTGATCTTTCTACTGTTGTGAACTTCCATCTTTTACAGTGAAATTAAAAAAAATATATATATACTCTTCTACCTCTATTTTTTCATAATCTACTTGCTCTTTAGTCAAATTAAATCTAGGTCACCTCCATCCAATCCATTCTGCTCTCCAGTACCAGATCAAACTTCCTAAAAAAAAATTCAGATATGTCTCCTATACCAGAGTTGGCAAATGTGTACGTGGCCATGTGGTCCATGAAATTTCTGAGTACTGCCCAAATCAGATTAAAATGTAATTGGGAAAAATTTAACAGAATAAATAAAAATACAATAAAAATATAGATAATATTTCATTTTAGAACTAAGTAAATATTTGGGCCATAGGGACCCTTAGGTATAGTAGTTGAGTTTGACACCATTGTCCCACATCACCCCCTCAAGGCCTCAATGGATACCTGCTGTCTAAAAAATAAAATAGGCTTCAATCAACTTTTCTAGTCTTACCTCTCAGTACTACTCTACACATACTCTATGCTTCAGCCAAACTGGAATATTTGTCAATCCCAAAGGAGTCCCATCTGCTCAAACAGAGGAGTTTGACCTTTATAGGCAACAGGGATCAATGGGAGGTTCTGAAGCTATGGAGTATCATGATAAAGTTATACATATTGTTTGCCCGTATCCCCCCATCATGTGGCATGGTTCACAGCCTACCTTGGGGACCTCGCCCTTGCTGCCCGGCGGGAGACGGAGGACCCAGAAGTTCCTGTTTCTCAGCAGGTTCTCCATGTTCTCCAGCCTCCTCTGGAGCAGCCCGTACTCCTGCAGCAGGGTGCCCAGCACGGCCCACTTGCTCTCCATATGGTTCCCAAACTCCACGGCCGTCTTCTCACAATCAGCGAGCTTTTTCTCTGCTGTCCCTGTCCGCCCCTCCAGGTTCAGCAGCTGGCTGGCCTGGGCATCCACCTTTCTCTCCACAGCCTGAATGGCGGCCACCACAGTCCAGAGGGAGATCTCAGCTGTGGGCAGCTGGGGCTCCCTCATCATTCGGTCAGGGTAAACAGGTGCCCTCTCCGGGAAGGCAGGAAACTGGAAGGGCATTGGACGCCTGGCGTCCATGTCCCATTCTTGAGCCTGGTGAGAGGACGAAAAGAGATACGTGAGGATGATGATCTTTCTGAAAGGCCAGAGGCTGGTCTAAGTAAAAGCTATACAAGCAGATGGCCATTCAGCATCTGATGCTCCTCACCACCATCACACGCTCTTCTCCTTGCGCATGAGATGTCTACCATCACTCAAAGACTTCCTCACATTCCCTGCTTCCTGCAGGTTGACTTGATATTTCTACCACCTTCAGGCTTATAAGAGTCAACGTGATCACCACCACCTAGCCCCAGCAAGGAGAGAATTATGACGTTCACCAACTTGACAAGTTCCTTTTAAAACAATTCAGACCTTCAGCCTAGATTATCAGATAGTACTGTTTTTGAGTAAGATGGCACTTTCCCTGAGGGCTGGACATAAACATTTATACGTGTCTAACATCTCATAATACCCTTTAAAGTACATATAGATCAATGTGCCTTTTCACATGTGCCAGTGTGTGTGCAGTGGGTGGAGGGTTGTGGTGAGAGAGTACTAGTGTGACTGTAGCAACAGATGAAAGATAAATTACTTTGAGCATATTCTCTTAAACAAGGCAAGGAATATATATGGGACACATTTTAGAAAGATTTCCATCCAAAATGGTTAAAGGAATTAAACCACCCCCACCCCTCACTCCCAGACATTTTTGGTACTTTAAGAGGTAGGCTTTGATTATCTGGACAATTCACTTATTCAAGGAGGCAATATTCTTCATGTAAGTGCACACACATGCATGCATACATGTATACATTCATTCATACATACATACTCCTCTTAGCAACCCAGGTGATATGAAAGCCACAGATACTAAGGCAATGGCCTTTTATAGGACTAAAAGGTCTGCCAACACCTAGAAACCAACTAATGCCAGCTCTCATCCCATCCTGTCCCTATTTTAGTTCCTCAAGGTAACTCAGTTTGCATTCTGCTGGGTTAGGAAGGAAGGAAGGAAGAAAGGAAGGAAGGAAGGAAGGAGGAAAGGAGAGAGGGAAGGAGGGAGGGAGGGAGGGAGACAAGAAAGGGAGAGAAAGAAGGAAGGAAGGGAGGGAGAGAGAGAAGGAAGGAAGGAAGGAAGGAAGGAAGGAAGGAAGGAAGGAAGGAAGGAAGGAAGGAAGGAAGAAAAGGAGGGAGAGAAGGAAGAGGAGGGAGTCCTGGACAGGGCCTGGGGCAAGGCAGGGTGCTGGGGCAGTCTTGACACATCCCTACCAGGTCTGGGGGTTCTGGAAGGAGGACCCCGTGGCCCTTGCTCAGGTGTGGCTGGCAAAGAGAGCAGAGCCCCTAGCCCAAGTTGTTAGCCGCCCCTCCCCTGGCAGCCCACACCCGGGGCACGGTGGACCCAGTATGGCTAATGAGAGGGGGCCTGCCCCGGAGGTCCAGAGGCCTAATGCTCTGCAGCTAGCCCCTTCCTCTTGCCGGGCCTCAGTTTCCTGCTCTGTAGAATGAGGCGTGGGGGCCTTCTCCTGGGCCTGGCGTGGGGCCGACGGCGGCGGCTTCCCCGCCCACGGCTGCAGGGGGGCCGCAGGCTAGGGAAGCTTCCTCTGCGCCCCAATCCCGCGGACGCCGGCCTAGGGGCGGGGGGGGGGGTCCGCACCTGCATGGGAGGAATGCCCTCGGCCATCTCCCCTGCTCGCGACGCGCCGGGCTCCTGGGGGCAGACCTCGTCGTGGGGCAGCGCCTGGGCCCAGCTCCAGCTCGCGCTGTCCAGTCCCAGGCCCTGGATGGCCAGCTGCTGGGGCTGCGGCCGTGTTGACACAAACTGCATCCTGGGAGTCCTGTTCCCCTCTCAGGCCGGCCAGCGAAGGGAGGAGCGGTTCCCAGCCTCCTTCCCCCTCGCCGAGGCCGGACAGCTCCATCTACAGCCCGTAGGAGCAAACAGTCCCCCTCGGCTCCCCCCTTCCCGCGGCCCGCGCGCCTGCCTGCCTGCCTGCCGGGGCTCCCGTGCCCGGCCCCGCCCCGCCTCCCGGGCCTCGGCCTGGGCTCGCGGCGTGGGGAGGGGGGCGCGAGAGCGAGCCCGGGCTGCCCCAGAGTGGGGAGGGGGCACCATAGCCCGGGCTTCCCCTAGTGGGCATACCCCGGCTGTTCCCAGCGTGCGGAGAGGTGCCCGAGAACGCACCCCAGGCTGACGTTGGGGGACCATTCCCCGGCTGCTATCAGCGTGGGGACTGGGATCGAGAACGCACTCCGGGCTGCCCCAGCGTGGGGGCTGGATTCTCAGAGTGTACACACCCTCGGCTCCCCTGGCAGAGAGACGGGACGGGGAGCCCGGAGAGCACACCCTGAGCTGTGCATAACGAACTCTGAGTCCCCAACGCTCAGGCTAGGAGCCCATGGCACACACTCCAGCTCCCCCACGGTATGGACTGGGGTCCCAGGGAGTGTACTCCCTAGTAACGAGTATGTTTAACTGTGGTTTGATCCAAAGGTGTGACTATCAGGTAGGTATTATGCTGAAAGAATGTGGATAGAGCGCTGGGACTGGAAATCGGGAAAACTTGAGTTCAGATCTGGTCTCAGACACTTGCTCTAGGCAAGTCACATAATCTCTATTTGTCTCAGTTTCCTTAACTATAGAATGGGGATAATGACAGCCTCTCCTCTCAGGGTTGTTGTGAGGATCAAATTACATATTTGTAAAGTGTTTAGCACATAACAGTGCCTAAAACACAGTGGGTGCTCTTTAAATACTCATTCCTTTCCTCTACACCCTGAAGGGGAAAGCCTGCTGGTGGCAGACAGTTTGAGAGGCAGTAAGGCCTTGTGTCTCTCCTCAGATCATAGATTGAATGTGATTACCTTCTCAGTGTCATGGAAAAAACTGTTCATCTTTGTTATCAAAGAGCTCTCTAGAGCTTATTCTCCCTCTCATAAGGTGGTTAGATGAGAAAATGTTCAATGTAAATTAATTTCTAGGCAGTGAGGTGGGATAGTGGATAGAGTATTGGACCTGGAATCAGGAAGACTGAAATTTATATTCTCTCTCATACCTATTAGATACTTATTAGACCTTGAGCAAGTCACAATAGCTGTGTGACTCAGTTTCTTCATCTGTAAAATGAATATAAAAATAGTGCCCCCCTCCCAGGGTTGTTGTGAGGATAAAATGAAGTGAAATGTCTCGCAAATATAAATTGCTATATTAATTGTAGTTATCATTATTATCCCAGAGACAGTTTAGACAGTGGGTCAGGACATGGGTATGAACATTTAAACAAGCTATGGCCGTTTTCCTATGCTAAGATTATGCCAATCAATAGGCTATTGACTTTGAGCTACTTTCTAGCAGTGGGATGTAATTACACTGTAATCTTGAGGGTAGCTGCCTAGAGATGAAAATTAGGTCTAAGGTCACTGGCCCATTCAAGGATTGAACTCAAGACTTGGTCTCAGAGTATACTTGAACCACTGAATTGTCCTCTCTCTTATGGCCTATCCCCTCTTGGTATAGGCTGCTTCTGGAACCACCACTTTTTTTTTCTCCTGAAAACTATGCCTCATGCCTAGGTGAACTGCATCCATACCTTTGCCTCTCCCTCCTTGTGAGATCGGAGATGGGAAACCAATACATTCTTCCTCCAATAAATTCTATGAATTTTGCCTTTGTTACTAAACTGTCCTGGAGTAGAAGAAAACAGGACCCCAATCATCTTCCACATCAGTGAGGGGGAGTCACAGAGCTGGGGAAGCTGAGTGTGCCAAAATCTGGGAGTATTCTCTAGTCTCTGGTACATGGTTAGCACTTATATGTTTTTTGATTTTTGGATCCTCCTGTCATGTTCTGAAGACCACTGTACTCAAGGTTTGGCAAATTCCCTGGTTATCTCCTTCCTATGTCCTATATTAGGCCTTAAATCTTCTCTTCTCTAGGTTAAAACAGAGCAAAAGAAAGGCCTATTGCTTTGAATTACTGGCCTAACTCTTCTGTGAAAATTTCCTATGAATCCCTAAACCAGGAAAATTTGGAACAGACTGGGACACCCTCCTAATAGGTGGAACCCAGAACTGAACACAGTACCTCAGGTGTGGTCTGATAGTGCAAAATACAGTAAGGCAGTCACCTTCTTTGTTGTAGACATTATACTTCCATTAATGCAACTTTATAATAGCCTTTTACTTTTAATAGCAATTAAGTCATCCTGTTGATACCTATGCAACTCAATCCCTCAGGTCTTTTTCCCTGGAATTAAACCAGGTCTCCTTATCTTGTCTTCTGGAAACTGTTTGAACTTAAATATAATAGTCCTTATTACAGTGATCTCTTTGGATTCTGCCCATTGTCCCAGCCTATCATGATATCTCTTTCTTGGTAAAGTTTTCAATTCATGTTTTTATTAAGCCTAAGATGTCCAAAAAATCCTACTTTGAAGTTTTCTTGTGTCCTGAAAGTAAACCTGGTTTCCTGAAGGCCCTGCTAGGAGATTGCAAGCTCTGGCAGGTTCTACCAAGCTGAAAAGTCTTTAAATATGATCCCAGGTACAGACTGTGTCTTCTTTATAAGGATCAGTAGGCTGGCTATTGTGTGATAAAACCTTTGACCATGGCAACTCATGAAACAAAAAAATACAACATAGGGACAAAGGGTACTAAGAATTATAGTTTTTAGGTCATCTATAAACATTACTTTAACTGTTGTTTAACTCTAAATGTGAGATCATGTCCAATCACCAACAAGTTGACATGTTACCAGAAAAAACAAACCTAATCAGTTTTGACATTCTCACCATAAATGAAAACCGGGAGATAAAATGAGGAGTAGCTACACATAAGTTCTCCTTGAAGAGGCAAATAAAGGAAATGGTAAAACTGGTTTTATTGTTCATCCAAAGGCCACAAAAAAACAACACATAATGGGATACTTTGTCATCTCTTATTTCAAGTCACCAAAAAGAACAATAGAGAGATACCTGATTATTGTAAGTAGGGGACTACAAATTATCCATGAAGAATTGCACACCAGAAATGGCATAAAGGACATCAAAGTGATGATGACCAAAAGGCAACAGGTCAGTTATGTATTAAGAGTGGGGAATAACAGATGAACAGCCTGTAATCCATTGATAGCCACATATGTCAAGAAATCTAAAGAAAAGCTTTCAAGAGGTTGAGTGGATCCACTATGGAGAATTTATGGGAGGAAAAGGGTAACCCAGGATGAGCTGTAGATGCATGGTGATTTTCACCACTGGAGGAAATACTTATCTCAAGGAGTATAAACATCAAAGGATCATTCTGCTGTATTTCTGACCTCTAAGTGAGAAGAAAGACCTTATGTATCTATGCTTCATTAAGATAAATTACTCTTTAGTATCTTAAGAGTAAGGCCTGTGTTGTACCTATTTTTGTATCCCGGGCACTTAGCATGATGTCATACACAGAATAGACATTTAATAAATACTGAATTTAATAGAAGTTAATCTAGAAAAGACCTATGAAATTATGTCACTTGGTTAATTGGGTTGAATACAAACACAGCAAATGAAGCAAGTGTCTAAAGACAACAGAGATCTTGACAGTAGAAAGAGGCAGAGGAGATGATTGCAGAAGTGTCTGACTCAGTTTAGAGTTCTGCAAAGGACCATATACCTTTTACTAAAAGTACTTTTCCACTCACCTAGTTTCAGGGTTCTCCTCCAGTGAACATTTTTATTTATACTTATGAAAAAAAAACCCAAACAAAACCTGTTGTTTCTTACAGACCACGTTTTCTGGTTTCTACTAATAGCAGTTTTAAAAAATTATCATCTTTTTCCTTTTGAAAAAAAATTTGCAGAGAAAATATTCATTCTTCCCTCAATGTTTTTATTCTCAGGGAACTTTGACTTTGCATTGGTACTTATTTGGGTGACAGGACCATATAAACTCCAAGAACTGTGCTGAGGTGGACTCCAAGAGAATTATGGAAAATTTGAAAAATTGCCACAAGTTGGGCAAAAGAGGACTTCTCATCTGGGGTCAGTACCTCTACATGTTATATGGCTACCCTCATAATGGCAGGTGAAGGAGTTAGATAGCAGCTTTAAAATAAAATGAACCCAGATTGGGGAGGCTTGAGCTGAAAAAGCATTATGGACCTCATGTACCTATACCTTTGCATGAAGAGCTCATATATATTTGTAGAGGATGTCATTTATTGGTAATTGTCTTCAGAGCCTATGGCACATTCTTTTGAATACCCTCAATGGTGCAAATCTCCATTGTTTGAAAGCAGATTTTATATTTGGAAACAGACATCAGACTGGTCAATTCTTATGAGTTAGAAAAAGCTGGTCAAGTGATTTTTTTTGGGGAGGTGGGGTGGGACATGAAAGGGAATCATGCCTATAAAGAGACTGGTTTTCTTCTGTCTTAGCCTTTAGACCAACTATAATGGGATAACTGCAGCCATGTCTCTCATCAGTCACTCTCTCCCTCCATCCCCACTCCTTTCAATTTCCTGCCTTGGGGCTATGTTAAGGCCTAACAGCTGGGCACAGTGGAGACCCCTGGCAGGACAACTCCTCACTCCAAGCGACCCAGGTCTTGGGTCATCTGGTATTGAAGGTTTTTAGGCCCCTTAGGAGACCTAAGTGGAAAAGTACTTTCAGTGCCCTCACTTATTATTCACTCATGCAAGACACCTCTGGGAGAGGCAGGGGCTGGGAAAAACGAGCTTCTCTGGAGGAGGCTTCAGGAATTCAGGATGAATCTGCTACACTACTGCTGACAGGGGTGGTGCACCTACTAGAGCTGACTGTGCTGAAATCCATTCTGCAAGATCAGTTCCAAGTGTGTTTTGGGCAACGGCCACACTGTTGGAATACATATTCAAAAGTTACTTTTTTAAATGGTACAACACTTATTGGACATCAATTCCAGCACATTTAAATAAAATCTTATTTTACAGTGATATCTCCACATGTGAAAACACTTTTGAAGGTCATCAATGCTATCCAAAGTTAAGGAAGTACTGTCTCATTTGGTCAAGAAGTCACCAAACCCAGAGAGGGCTGTTTGGTGACTTTGGTCTACCTGGACCTTCCTTGGGATGAATTTCCCTATAAAGCCAGCCTATGAGGGTCACTTGGTAAAACACTTTGATCCTATGGACTATGTCCTCCCATTACTCATACATAATATAACCATTACTCACACATCAGGCTGGTGAGTACCATTCGGAGTGGACATAGTTAATATGACTCCAATCCGGCAGGAGGTGCTACTTTACTAAAGCATCACTCAATTTATCTTATTTCCAACTCAGAGCCCTGAAATTCCTGCTGGGATCTAATAATGACTCCTCAATGAGGGGGTCAAAGTCCCTTCGATAATGAATACCTTGTCCACCTGCTCCCCCTCCACCAAGCAAGCAGACTTGGATGCATCCTTTGACCTCTTTTTTGCTTTATCTTTCCTTTTTGTCTTCTGTCCACAAAATATCCTCTGACTTCTTTCCAGACTAACTTCCTTCTGGTTTCCCTTATAATTCCCAAGACTTTATATATATCCCAAAAACACTAAGAGGAAACTAAGCTGATACTTCCTTGTTTATTCTACAAATAATATAGAATTTAATTAGTATGTATTTATCCAGTTGTGTTTCCCTTTTATGGATAGTTGTCAAAGTAGTTTTGCTTTCTTAGTTTATATGCTGCTCAAGGGATAGGTTTTAAATTGGAGTAATACCTTTTACAGCATCATTCATGTGTTCAATATTTATTTGAATATACTCTTATGTCTTCAACATGGTATTCTGAAACTGGTTATATCCCATGTTACAAGTTAGAAGTGGATATGGCTGATAAGGTTAACTTGAGTTTATGTGCACAAAACTCAAATCTCCATCACATTAATACCACACATAACTACCTGCGATCAACTTACCACCAGAAAAGGTAAACAAACTAGAAGAAAAACATTGGGATTTCTTTTTTATTTTATTTTTTTAGGCAATTGAGGTTAACTGACTTGCCCAGGGTCACACAGCTAGTAAGTGTCAAGTGTTTGGTCTGAAGCCGGATTTGAACTCAGGTACTCCTGACTTCAGGGCCGGGGCTCTATCCACTGCACCACCTAGCTGCCCCCAAAACATTGGGATTTCTGAGCCAGAAGTGAAAAAGTGTGGTGTGGTATAGAGTAATGCATTTAGAATTAAAGCCAACAAGCATTTATTAAGCACCTACTACATGCCAGGTGTTATGATAAGCTCTGGGAATACAAAGAACAGCAAAAAATAAAAATAAAACATGCAAACAACTATGTACAAATGATATATATAGGATAAACTGGAAGTAATTTCTAAGGGAAGGAAGGCACTAGCATTAAGGGAGAGTGGCAAAGGCTTCTTACAAGAGGGATTTTAGCTGAGATTTGAATG